GGAGGTCCTGGCGACAGTTACTACACAATCCTGATTACGATGACAGTACTGTACAGGACTGTACAGCACAGCACAGCACATGAATTTATATAGGCCTGCATACCACAATAAAAATATCACGATTCAAATCTCGCGCCAGCACCCTGCTCCTATATCAGCGACTACCCCTGAGTCCAGACGCAGCGAATACATACTTACTGATACTCCGGTTATTCTGCTTCGAGCCAAACAGCCCGTGCATGAAGACGATGGGTCGGCCATCGCGGCGATGGCTGCTGTCCTTGGCCGCGGCCGGGGGCTCGAAGAGCTGATAGGCGAGCTCGACGCGTAGCGAGCGGGCGGAGGAGAAGAGGCGTCGGTGGGCGCGAGCCAAGTGGCTGGCCGTTAACCCCCGGGAGAGGAGGGGCATTGTGATTATTATTCTACAGTCCGGTCAATTGAGAGAGATGTGTCGAGCATTGATTTCGTTGTACTCCGTATGTTGATCCGCTGAAGACGATTTGCGGGCACGTGATGATAAGCTGATAAGAACTACGCATGCAGCGAATCAAATGCCCGCAAAAGGACATGGAATCGGAGTGAAATCGAGGACGCTGACTGGCCAATTCGATGATGACATCATCTCTGCTTTCTCAGATGAAGCTGAGAGTAGAATGAGAGAATATTCCTGTTAATCGTGAAGAATCAAGTCTTTTATCCTCTAGTTAATCCGGCAGATCGACAATCGACAATCTACTGTCCAAGACAACCAATATATGCGTGTATCCATGTAGCAGTATATACAAAGCACATCTATAGACATGAAAATATCCAAAAGGCCCCTATCTATCTATATTGAATCTTATTTGAAAATTTCCGCCGGCTGGTCCAGCAACGGAGGAACATTCTCCAGCAGATGCTCGACAATCGCATCCGGGCCCTTGTCGACCTGCAGGCCGTACGGGATGGCGTGCGTGCGGATGCCAGGGCGAAGACGTCTGGCGATGGCCTGGATTTCGGCAGCTTGCTCGGCGGTCCACATGGAGGCGCAGAACTAGTCGCCAGTCAGTAAAAAAATATGCAATTAATTCGCATGTATGTGTGGGATGGGATATCTACCAGCACGTCCGGCTGATGCTCCTTGACCTTGGGCTCGACTTCCTCGATTTCTGCGACTCGTCAGCTTCGTCCGCTGGAATAGAATAGGCTGCTTTTGCTCACTCTCGCAGTTGTCCACGTGGATAATCGTATACCGGTCCTTCAAGGCTTCGATCATCCGGCCGATGAGCCTCCTGGCCCGCTCGGGGGCGGTGTTGACGGTGACGAGCCGGAAGGGGCCTTTGGGGGTGTCGGACATGATGAACAAGACAGTATAGAATGTTTCTTTGGTTTTGCTGGATGATTATTTCAGAACTGCTTGTCTGCAGTGTCTTTTATTTATTTAAATTGAAGTCGTTGTCGCGCTGTCCCGCTGTGCTGCCCCTCCGGATTCGGCGGGGGAAAATACTTTGCCGCCGCAGCAGCGACTTCGTCAGATCCAGCACAAGTCTCTCTCTGTCCATTGATTCTTTTTTTTTGCTGCCAATAATGACATTAATAATAGTGAATGAATCCGACACGGTAATTCGGAAATCGTCCGACGAACTAATCAATGCAATGGAAAACTCCGCATGGGGAGTGTCCCGTGACATGTACGGAGTACAGATATGCACTCCTGCTGTAGCTATCTTTCTCTAGAAATATTATTCTTTCCTTATTCCCTGCTGATATATCTCTATTATATTGTATATCGATTCAAAATGACCGCCTCATTTTCCCGTAAGGCCCTAATAAACACACATTGCTTGTATATTCCAGACTGACTGTCCAGGCCTCGTCCGCTTCATCCCCAAATCCGACCCCTCCAAAGTCCTCATCGGCGAGCCCGTCGACCCCAATGTCGACGTCGGCCTTACCCTCTACGACGGCAAAGACGTCGCCGTGAGGACGTATTCCGGCTCGTCGATCTTGTCGCCGGGCAAGCGGACGGAGACGGTCGAGACGATTGCGAGGGTGCTCTCGCCGCTGGCGCAGGAGGAGGTTGGGACGATACGGTGTATTGGGTTGAATGTGCGTGAAAGGCCACCAAAAAAAAGGCCATATATTGATGAGGGTATATAGTACGTCTCCCACGCCGCAGAAATGAACCTCGCCATACCCGACATCCCGACAATATTCCTCAAGCCCGCCACCGCGCTGGCAGACCCGTGGCCCGCGCCCTCGATCCTGCCCAAGATCACGCAGCGCGACAGCACGGGCGACTACGAGTCAGAGCTGGCGATCATCATCGGCAAGACGGCCAAGAACGTGTCGGAGCAGGACGCGCTGGACTACGTGCTGGGGTACACGGCGGCCAACGACGTGTCGAGCCGCACGGCGCAGACGAGCCAGAGCCAGTGGTGTTTTTCGAAGGGGTTTGATACGGCGTGTCCGTTGGGTAGGAGCAAGCCTCAAACAAGCCTAGATTCTGTCTGTCTGTCTGACACGGCTATCTATACAGGCCCCGTCGTCGCATCAACCTCGCTGGTCCCTGACGTATCGAAGCTGCGCATTCGAGGAGTCAAGAATGGAAAGGTCATGCAAGACTGCGGATTAGAGTAAGCCTTCCCCATTATCACCTGTACAACCTGTACAGATGCTGACTCCCCGCAGAGACATGATCTTCACCGTCCCCCAACTGGTCAGCTTCCTCTCGCAGAGCACCACCCTACCCGCAGGAACGGTCATCCTGACCGGCACACCCCCTGGCGTTGGAGCGGCGAAGAAGCCTCCCGAGTTCCTGAAAGCAGGGGACGAGTTCCGGGTGCAGTTGGAGCCGTATGTGGGGACGTTGATTACGAGGTTTGAGAATGAGTAGCTGGCACGTAGCTAGACAGGATTACTTTGTTAGACGGGATAGATATTACGTAGGACGGGACAGGATGGGACAGGACAGATTTGAATAATAAATAGACTAACTTGTCATTCTGATGGGTCAATACAATTGGCAAAGCACCCATTATGATCTGTGTACAGTATTTGGTTAATGTATTAGTACACACAGTATGTACTGACCAGTAGTAGCATAGAGCTACTCAACTAACTCGGTAGATAATATAATACTCCGTATACAAACAAGTGTGGGACGTGTGGGACGTGTGTGGGACGACGTGGGACATCACTGCACTGCAGCATGCAAGTCAACACAACAGAAAGCATTAGAGACTAGAAGAGAGGGAAAGAAAGAAAGACGCATACCGTAGACAAAGAATGACCTTCCTACGAAAAAAAAAATCTACGTACATAGAGTGTACCTACATACCTACCTATATTTACTTACTTACTTACTATTAAGAGATTACCTGCTAGGTATGTATATCCCTTACCTAGGTAGATAGATATGTATGTAGAATAATATGTATGTAAACAGGACAGCTATATTCCGGACAGACAGATTCTTGATAGATATGATATGATATGAAATGAAAAGTACACAAGTTTTACAATAAATTCTATGAGTACATTTATACAGTGCATACTTAATTAATTCGAGAGTTGCAGAGATATGTGTATACACATACTTCATAATAAAGGGCATTATTATTATCTCATCAACATATCGACATCATTAATCAATCTACTCTAGGGAAAAAGTTCTCTTTTCTTCTTTTCTTTTCTTTTCTTTTTCTTTTTTTTAAGAAAAAAAAGGCACTTGCTAACCTGCCCTCCTCTGCTTGAGTCAATACTCCGGAGTATGCTCTGTATGCTCTGTCTGAGCGCAGGCAAAATCCTTACCCGCCGACCCAATCAACCTTTATCCAACCAATCACAGCATTGCTCCACCTCCCTCATCAAGTAACCCGATTACCTAAATAGGGCTGTCTGACGGCCAATAGCAGTGGACTAATTAGCAAGAGAGTAAGTATGTGGGTATAGTGTGTGGGTAGGTATCTATCTAGATAGTTGGATTGTAAATTCGGGATCACGGGTAGGGTGTTGTGTTGCGTGATATGATGATAAGGGTATTAATACTAATTGAATTGATTCCGCTGGTATTAGTTGAGTTTCGTGAGTGAGGCAGATCACGCCATGTTCTATCTACCTATCTATCCTATAAGGACTTTTTGAATTCGAAGAACAATTATCCATATCCTATCGACATTATGACTATGTACATGCTTGCTACCGGACAATCGATACCTGCGACAGTCCTACCGTTGAAACATGTCTCCTGCTCACGCAGCTGACTCAACTCGTGGCCGCACCCCCCGCCAGGTCGGCCCACGCCATTGCAGCAGCAGCGTCGGAATGACACTGACTCCGACCATGAGCGCCGTCGCGACACCCGCGCTGTTGGCAACGCCGACGTTGGTGAACATGTCAGGGAACCTAATCAGCATTAGCATGCAGGAAGAAAAAAGAATGCAGCAAGAAAAAGAGCAAGAGTAAGGCGCATACCAGAACGGCCCGATAAATCCCCAGATTTGTCGAACAAACGTGATAAACACTCCCACGGAAGCCGACTCCTCGTGGTTGCAATCCACCGCATACGTGATCAGCACCGTGGTGACGACCTGATTTCCAAAAGCTGCAATGGCAACGCCCACAATCGGAGTGATGTTCCAGTGTCCCGCCGGCGAGTTCTGGATCTGGACTAGGAAGACAATCACGCCCACGATCGTCAACGCGAATCCGATATAGCTCAGCCAGAGACGGTATTCCGGGGCCGGCCGCTGGTGCGTGCGACGCGCGCGCGAGTTCATCCAAAAGTCCGACAACGATCCTCCGACCTGCTCGCCCAGCAGCGAGCCAATCACCAGACTGAGGAATTGCAGACCCAGTCCCTGCGTGCTGAGGGCGAATTTCTCTTGCAGCAGCTGCGGGATCTCCACCGTGACCAGCACGCTACCAAACAGGAAGATCATGGCATACGCAATGGCCGGGATCGACACCGACGCACGGCCGGCCAGCGTCAGAGGATGGATGAATTCCCACAGCTGCAGAGGAGTCGGATCGATCCGTCGGAAGGACAGGTACTGCTGACGGAATCCAGAGCCTGACCGGCCGGGGTTTCCTGGAACGTAGCGGGTTTCCGGGCCAAAGAAGAGATACAGGATAAATTGGACGCCATTGACCTGGTTCCTGTTAACCCACGAAACAGGAGGAAGACAATTGCAAAAACTCACAATCGCCAGCACCCAGTAGATCCACCGATATCCCACCCGCTGAGCAACAAAGCCAAAGATGAACGGCGCCACCGGCACCCCCAGCGTGACCAGCAAGGTCCACACGCCCATGTATCGGGCGCGTTCCTTGCGGAAGAACGATTCAGTCACGACGACACTCCCCAGGGCCAGCGCCGGGCTGATGAAGAAGGCCGTCAGGGCGCGACAGGCGGCCATGGACGCATAGTTGGGGCTCTTGGCACAGCCGACGTTGGTGACCAGACTGCAGACCAATGATAGCAGGAAGATGGGTCGACGGCCAAAGCGACTGGACAGGGGCCTCCAGAACAGGGGGGCGCCTCCCAGGATGGCGATCTGCAGGGAGGTCAGGTACGACGCGCGCTGCAGGCTGATTCCCAGATCCTTGGAGATCAGCATGTAGGCAGGGATGATGCAAGCGGCCGTGAAGGTGCCCATCATGGCGTGGAAGGCGACGAGAACGAGATTGATGGTTTTCTAGACAGGCAGGGTTAGCAGGGGTCCGTCAGGGGATGGAGCAGTGAGCACACCTTCCAGACGGGCCAGTTGTACGGGTCAGCCTCGTCCGGGGCGGGGATGGGATCCAGGTCGAGGGTGCCATGTCGCTGCAGCAGAAACTCGCGATGCTCAGGGGAGAGGTCAGCGGCGGTGGCGGCGGTTTGCACGTGGGTGTGCTCGACCTTTTCGCTGGCCGTGTCGACGCCACTGGATTTGGGGTTGTCTTCGTGGATGGACATGGCAGCAGACTATTGCTCCATATGAGAAATAACGGAGAAATAACAGAGAGAATAGTCGAGTTGGGAGAATGGCGTCGACAAATATTTTGTGTGACGGAGCAAGCAGTGGAAGGGACTGCAGCAGCCAGGGCAGGGCCTTAAGAAGGACCGATACCGGGCAGCAGGCATGGCGATCCTGCCGGTGAAACCTTGCTGCAGCAGATCTCTGCCTGGGTTGCAGCTTCCCTGTGGGGACGTCTCGGGACACTCTCGCCCGGCTGGCGGGTGACGCCGCTTGCCGTGTTGGGAGAACATCCGGAGCAGCTCCGTCCCCAACTTTGGCGGAGAAACCCCAGAAAGCCCCAAACCCCGGGTCTGGGGTTGCGGACCAGGCTGGCAGCTGCTTTTTCCTGTTAATCGTCTCCAGGCCTCTGCGGTGGACGCGTGGCTCGGGGATGAGGCTGGTCGGGCCAATCACGGCGCGGGGAATTGTCGACCGAGTCAGCGTGCCCGCTAGCGCTGAAATTAGTCCGCTCTGATTGGCTGGTGAGGCTTGGCTGGGCGCCACCAATCACAGCGCGCGGCCCACGGCAGTTGCAGTCGGATCAGCAGCTAAAAAGCTGTCACGCACCTAAACTACAGAGTACTTAGTTATTTTTGATTGCTGATCCTCGAAGTACAGTTGACATGGTGCGTAGAATATGCCTCACGAATATAGGTATTCTGCTGAAATATCCACGATGCTGGAGATGGTGAGACTTCCAGTATATAGTGTCACGTGTAGCGAAGCCGATTCCTTAGTACGTCCCATCACGTGTGGAAGGTCCATTGAAGCACGTGAATGTCGTTTTAGTAAACTCAGGCCCGTCCGTAGCTTAGGCAGTTCCTTACACACACCACTGCTTGACAGCATACGCATATATTACGTTCACTTCAACCTCGCATTCTATGCAGACGCAGCATCCCATTGCTGCCTGCCTGACCTGTCTAACTCTTCGCCACCCTCAAGTCCACGTGGTATACTAAGTTCCAGATGAATGACTAGATTGAACAGCGAACACAAGATAGTCTTAACTCATGGCGACCTTCGACCTGCGAACATCATTGCAAAAAAAAAAACGTAGACACATTGTTGGGATCTGGACCGGGAGATGGCTTCTGGTATCTCGAATCCTGGGGTTTTGCCGAGGAATTCTACCTCCAACGCGTGCCCACTGACTGGGGAACGAACCTTTTTTTCTGCACTAGGGCCATACTATTTGGAGCACGGCGTGTATCAACGGCAGCTGGCTCATCGAGATCGTGTGCTAAAATCACAATGCACGTCTGTCATCTATCCTGGCAGATTACATGATCCGGGTACTGTGCAAAGGAGAAGGCAGAATGTTTTACAAGAGCAAATGGCGAATTGTGTATAAAAATGATGACAAAAAAATTCTATAGAGGGCCACTATTCGCCATCGGGCATTGTCTGATGCAAGCCACCAGGCCACAGCATTTTAACCGGGCCTGGACATGCCATAGCCATGTGCCATCCCTGCCTTTGCGGGGAATATCCATGACTTCGGCTGTCTGCAATCCCTGTCGGATCGTGGGGTCGGGACTCGGTCTGCGGTCTGGGGTAAGATCTTACCCATGCCTCTCCACCTCGTCCCTTTTCTCGACGGCCTCCCCACACAACGGCTGTCGCTGTCTCTGACAGAACAGGACGGCTGGAAATTGACTTGCCTGCACTAATTTGATTCCATGTCCTCTTCGAGTGCATTCCATCATGGCGGCTGCGTCGGCTGCATCTTCCCCGGCAGACCGGTCCCGCCGTTTAGTCTGCAAGGACTGCCAAAAGGCTTTTACTAAGCCTGAACACTTACGAGTAAGAGCTGATTAACATTTGCTTTTTTTTTGTTTTAGCTTTGTACTTTATATTTATTCTTTCCTCTCTTGTACAGCAGATACTAACCCCCTCGCAGAGACATGAACGCAGCCGTAAGCACTGCCCGTGTGCTAATTTCTAGTCCAAGCTGATATAAGCCGGCTGTGTGTAGATACCGGATCAAAGCCTTTTGTGTGTAAAGAGTGCGGCCGGCCGTTTGCTCGTCAAGATGCTCTCGCCCGCCATGGGAAGCTTCACAGCCGCCAGGACAGTGCCAAATACGCATCCCCTTCATCAGTCTCCTCGATAGAACAACGGGCCCCGACGGAGATTCCCACTGCCGCCCCGTCATCAACATCCACATGGGACTGCGCCAGCCAGATGCAGCAGTCTGCTGGTACAGCAGGTCAGAGCTGGGTTGAGTCTCAATCGAACGGCGCCAATAGCCGCCATGTCGGTCTGCAGAGCACACCACTAGCGACCGATCTCGACCTTGCCTTGATCTGGCCCGACTCAGAGGAACTGTTCCACTCCATTATGTCGTCAGAGGCCGTAGAGCAGTGCCAGGTCCCTCTGGGAACGCTGCCGTTTCCACCCATCGTCGATCAGACATCAATCACCAATTTTGGTTCTTCCAGCACGTTTGGTGACCAAAACTCTGTCGGCAGCATTCCATCTGGCAAGGGCCATCAGGCGGTGCGTGATGTGTCGGAAATGGTGACCAGCTTGGTAGGGGACATCCTCGCCTCTTAAATCCTCAGGCATCCGCTCATTTAATATGCAGTCGTCCAGTGTCACGGCAGCGGTCAAATCCAGCTCCATTACGTCTGTCTTTCTCGACGAATGTTTACATATGTTCTTCGTCCGGTTTGTTCCCACCTTTCCAATCCTACATCGTCCAACCTTTGTTTTTCGTGAATGCACCCATCCTCTCCTGTTGAACGCCATCGCCATCGGATCGCTGTACTTGGGGCCCAAGGATGCTATTGCCAAGGTAGGCATTGTTCGTGAGGAAGCAAAATCAAGCTGACGCATCCCAGGGTGAAGCTCTTTGGCGCTTGGCCCATACCGCCGTTGCAACATCTGTAGGTTCGCAAATTCTAATGCAGAGCGTATGGTGGCTAACTCACCTCAGTGGCAGACACTGATAACACATCGCGGACCCTACGATGCTTGCCAAGGTGTCCAGTTGGTGATTACGGCCCTCCTGGGTCATGTCTACGGTGCTCTCTCCAAGGTGCGTGATCCGGCGTCAACACTGTATGCCCGCTGACGTCCATCTTAGAACCGGGCAATCCGCACCACCAGTCAGATCTTTCGTGGCTTGGGGTTTTTCTGGGCCCGCAATTGTGGCATGTTCGAGACGGAACCCGCGCCAGTCGATCATCTCCCTTCCCTAAACGCGCCGGCCGCTGAAAAAGAGCATCACTGGCGGACGTGGGTGTCTCGTGAGATTCAGCGACGAGCCTTGCTGGCGTATTACATCGTGGATGGGCTGCTGGCACAGTTATCCGGCGAAGCGACTTCGGTCCGGCACGTTGCGAACCAGCTCACGCTGCCCAGCAGTGACGCGGCCTTTGAAGCGAGCACCGCAGATGAATGGCTGGCTTCTATGCGCACGCAAAGCCCTGACAATCGATCTTTTCGCTACATCTTCCGCCAGATCTTCCCGACTGGTGGCACGCCTGATTCGCTAGAACCGGTGACCTCAGCCTTCTCCCTTCGGGTCATCCTCGAAGGCCTGCAGTCTCTTCTGTCCGACTGCGACGACGACGACGACGACAGCGGGGTCGCTACGGTTGGAGTCCCCGGAAGACCTGAGGTGCGTCGTGCTCTGTTCCAGGTATTCGAGAACATCAACACGAGTCTGTCTCTGGCCAAGACAGAACGATTGGAAATTCTTCTCCGGTGGCACACCATCTGTCTCGACGCCGTCACAAGCTCGTCCATGCTTTTCCGGCACGTGTGCAGCAGCTACAATGTGGAGCAGCATGTCTGCAGCGGAGGGGGCAAGGGGATGCGGCGCGGGTTTGACTTGGGAAAATGGGCGCATTCTGGCGATGGTCGTCGCGCGTTGCTGCATGCCGTCGCGATCCAACAGATCGTGGAGGAATTGCCTCGGGGACGGGCGCATGTCATCCATATGCCGGGCTCGCTCTTTGCGGCGGCCATTGTCTACATTGTGTTCTCGCTCGCTGGCAACATTTCGATCCCCCTGCCTCGAGCGATTGACTGGGAGGACGTGCTGCTGACGAAAGAGCAGCCGCCGCTTCCGTCGATGATGAGCGAGACGGTGATGCTGAACGAGTCTCCAACAAGTCGATTTATCCGTGGGGAGTTGCGAGCTCCTGGAGACACGGGCAGCCGGATGAATGTGTTGTACGAACTCAACACGATCCAGAAGCTTTTCCGATGTTTGTCATCGCAGTGGGGGATTTCTCACGACATGGAGGCGGTTGTTGACCGGTGCATTGCGCTGTGTCACTGATCGAGATTTCATTCTCGAAGACATTGACCATTCCACAGCAACAGCGCCACCAATCCCGTTGACTCAAGTTCCTGTCGAGTTAGGCTAGCCACGAGCCTGGTGTAGCACAACATAACCGACTTATGGCCCAGCAAACCTTATCGGTGGTCCAGTCACATACCAACGCAGGACTGACTCGAGCGGTCTAGTGGCTCTAGACATGGTCTGGATTCATGTCATTGCCAGATCGGAACAGTGATTCCGACTGACGCCATGCTAGGCAGCAATAATAACAATATCCCTTTATTGCTGTCGCGTCGGTCTACGTATACAGCATGTCGGCGATAAGATTGCGCGAGGGCATCGGCGTTGGCTACCGGAAGGGACAATAGTGGGACGGCGTGGGACGGCCGGCAGCGCCAATAGCGGGGCATGCAAGGGCATGCATTCTGTACCACGCACGTTTATCTCCGAAGATCTCCTCCGACCAGCTCGGCCGTATGTGCCAGGGGTCTTTAAAAGGTGATCAATCGACAATTGTTTATCAATCAGAATGTCCAGGTCTTGTATCTTGCAATCCATCTAGTGTGTATCTGTGTACAGTTATCGACATGGCTAGCATCAATCCCCCGCATCGGCCGCTCCATGATGTAAGTATTCATGCACTTACTTGTTAAGATGTCTTTTCATTCATTTTATTATTTGCTTGTTTTTTTTTGTTGTTCTTGTCTGTATTGTGTGTCCTTTTTCTCTTATTTTTTTTCTTCATATTCATCATTTTAATTTGTTTCTATTCTCCTTTCTCTCATTGATTCCTTTTTATCTGCTTCCTGTTCTGTCTGACAATCCAGGACAACCGCGAAACCGAGCTCCTGCAATACGTCTTCAACCTCCCCAACCTGGATGACCTACGGGGCCAGCCGGACAAAATCCTCGACGCGATCGACACCTACAGCCAGACACACAAACACCTGATGAACATCGGCCCGAAAAAGGGCCAGCTGATCAGCGACCTGATCTCCGAGCGCAAACCCTCCACGGTGGTCGAGCTCGGCGGCTACGTCGGCTACTCGGCCATCAAGTTCGGCGACGCGGTGCGCCGCGCCGGCGGCAAGCGCTATCTGAGTCTGGAGATCAACCCCGTCTTCGCGGCCGTGGCCAACATGCTGATCGACCTGGCGGGGCTGCGCGATGTCGTGCGCGTGCTCGTCGCGCCGAGCCATGTCTCCCTGGCGTGGCTGGTGCGCGAGAATGTCCTCGACCATGTCGAGCTGCTGTTCCTCGACCACTGGAAGGATCGCTATCTACCGGATCTGTGGCTGGTGGAGCAGCTGGGGTTGCTGAAACCGGGCGTGTCGGTCCTTGCGGCAGACAACGTGCTCCAGCCAGGGGCGCCAGAGTATCTAGACTGGGTGCGGGCGAGTCCAGCCGAGAAGCGGGAGAAACTGAAGCAGAAAGCCACTACCGACCTGGGCGGGATCGACCTAGCGAAAGCGATCAAAGAGAAGGGCGAGAAAGACCTAGGCGTCGATCTGGAGAACGTCCCGGGGAACCCGAACCTGGTGTACGAGACGGAGATTCATATTTTCGAGACACGTGATGGAAATAAGGTATGTCTTGCACATATAAATATGTATTTACTTTATGTTGGGGATAGACAGAACTAACTTGATTTACAGGACGGCGTGGAAATCACAAAGGTGGTGGGCGAGGAGAAGAATTAGCATGAATTATCATGATGGAGATAGCCAGATGACAATAGTAGAGAACGAGAATGAAAATGCAATTACCGCTAAAATTGAAGGACTTTTTACAGTAGACCTTTTTTCAAATAGGACGGGAGACATTTTTCTTAATATTCTGAATACACCTGTCTGTACATACATATCCAGTGACGGTTCCAGTAGTCCTCGAGGAGAGGAGGGGAGAGAAAGAAGGAAATACTACCGTAGCAATGACATCGTCAGCTGGTGTGTTATATATATAATTCATTAGCTATAGCTATAATATAGTCCCATCTATTTTATTGAGATTCAATATACTATGTAAACTATAAACTATAACTAAACTATAATATTACTTACAGAGTAGGTAGACCGCGTTCGACATAGATTGATATAGATTAGGTTCATTGATGATTAGATCAGATCAGATTAGATCAATGCTGTTAAGATTAGATTAGATTAGATAATATTAGATTAGATCAGATCGGATCGGACAAGCCTGCTTAAGTACTTGTGTAGAGTAAATAATTGTATGTATGTAGAGAGTAGGATAAAAAGGTTATTAGTTCAGGAAGTAAATAGATAGCAAATAAGTATTTCTACATCGCAGACTCTGTGTGTAGAGGTGTTACAAGCTCTAAGTTCCAAGGTCCATGTTCCACGGTAAAGCGATCAACATATCTTACCTAGTTAAGTAAGTAATCTGAATCTATGGAAAATAGGTAGATAAATTATGTATTAGATAGATAAGGAGAAAAAAAAAACATAGATAGAAAAAAAGCAATCTTATCGATCAATTAGCACTCTGTTATCAGGACGGATAGGATGTAGGAATCTAGGCACGTAACAGGTAACAGGTTCTTGCGCTTAGTAACAACCAGTCAGTCTGCCTAGGTATGTACATATTTCCAGCGTAGTATGTAAGGGAGACTCGTGATTATGGTCTCTATATGCTAATCCAGATTGACGTTGAGTTTTATAGTTTCAGATCCACTCTAGGTAGGCAGTTTCTGGTTAGTAGATTGTCTTTTTTTTTATTATTTTAGAATTCAGATGCTTTGCCAGCCATACTCGCGTAATTACCGAAATAGATATGTACATAGGTAGGAATTTATTTCTCTGTTTCTCTGTACGAGGGAGGGCGTGTATGCAGGGCTGCAGGTCGAGTAAGCAAGCGGTTAATTTGATTTCTTGTCTTTTCTTTTTTTCCTTTTTTTCTTTTTCTTTTTCTTTTCCTTTCCCTTTCCTTTCCTTTTCTTTTTTTTTTTTTTACTCTTTATTTTCAAAGAAAAAAAAATCTCAGAAAAGTCAATGAAATGAGAATAGGCATGACGATCTCGAATTGATCCATTGTGATATTTTATTTATTAGGTTTAGCGAAACGATAGGCATGTACTCCACGTAGTATTCTAGTATTCTGCTTGCCGGAGCAGGGCTACCTAACCCTGTTCTGTCTACCTGTCTGCTGACTTGATGGAATTACTCAAAGTGGCTCACGCAAATATAAAAAAAATTAGCTTTGATGGTGAAGGATACATTTGGCATGAATGAATTTTATATGCATACATAGGGAATATTAGGCGGCTATAGTCGAAAGAGTCATTATTAATGTTACATAAAAATGCCAATAAAACAGCTTTTTTTTGTGGAGCAGAGATATGTCAAATGAAGCCGTATGCATTATTATTACGTATTGAGAAATGTTGCAGTGACAGTAATGAACTTGTATTGCGTTGTAGGGACTGTATATTGTGCAGACTGTATAGCGATAATTTCTATGCATTGGCTTTTCATTGATTGTCTTCTCAAATCGATGGAGACAGGGAAGTTGCATGCCTGCAAGATTCGCAATTTGTCTTCCTAGAAGTTCTATTTCTCTATCGTCTGTCAGACTGGTTAGTGCACTCACTTCACTCCCTACATCTCTATAGAATATTCGTTTCACTCGAATAGGAATGTAAACGATTTTCAGTCTCCTCTCTGATTCATTGTTTGAATCCGTCTGAATGGTAGTACTAACTAAGGTAAGAGAACCAGTGGCATGCTGTCAGAGATAATACCAGATAACACTAGCATTCATGCGTAACGTCCAGTTCAACTCCATAGGATTCAGTTATGAAGCAGATATCTGTGTCGGTTTGGCTGAGTGAAATCCGAGAATAGCCAACATCGGCGGGACGATAAGATCTGAGTCACATCACTACGGCAACCATCAATAAGCAAAAGTCGATGACGTGCACTCGCTCTTTCTATCTTCTCGAATCTCAGCACAAACAATGGGATAAGCCGGAAAAATCCACTTGCATAGGAAATGTCTTCGACAACGCAGCAAGCTGCATCCTACGAGATCGGCCCCGCCCACTTCCCCGACGACAAACCCGCCATCGTCGCTCTGTTCAACGCCTACGCAACCGCGCTGGGGATCGACCTGACCTTTCAAGGCTTTCAGGACGAAGTGGATTCCTTACCGGGGAAATACAGCCCTGAGAGGGGAGGGCAATTGCTGGTTGCGCGTGCAACTGCTCCTACACCCAGCCCTAGTGGCGCCAGCACCAGTAATACTGCTGCTGCTCGTGAGATAGTAGGCTGCGTGGCCCTTCGCGCCCTGGACTCAGACGATCCAGATCCAGATCCAGATCCAGATACAGACAGATCGAAAACTGGACGAGGCTTCTGCGAAATGAAACGACTCTACGTCACCCCCGTCGCACGCGGATCGGGTCTAGGCGCCAAACTCGTCGATGCCATCATCCAGCACGCCCGCTCCCTGGACCGATACAGGGGCATCCGTCTGGATACGTTGCCGGGTGAGATGATGGTCGCCGCGCGGGCGCTGTATTACAAACGTGGATTCCGCCGGATTGCGCCGTATTATGAGACGCCGATTGAGGGGACGATTTTTTTGGAGTTGGAGTTTTGATGGAGGATATGTTTGGACGAGAGAAGAGCTGCTCTAGCTGATATAGAGTCGATAGGGATAATCTAGATAATGAGAACTATGTCAATGGGAGCAGGAGATTCATAGATAAAGGGAGTAATAGGGATGATGTTAGCTGAGATGGCTGTATTATATGTGCACACACCATATACACTGCACTGAATCAGGCGACAAGTTTGCATGACATCGAAATGATCCAGAGGTCTTCATATCTATCCAAAATCGTACTTTTTCTTCTCATTTCCTCCGAGAATGTCGAGTACAACACTCCCCAAGTCTTGCAGAATAACCTGCAATGTGATGGCCACTGCAGACAGGCGCAGCTGGAAGCCCTCAAGCACAGGCAGGATGAAGTTTGTGTGAGAAGACACTCTGAGTTGAACAGACAAAACAAAAGATCTCTGCCGGCCAAACTAATTTGCAGGACATCGAAAAAGACAAAAGGGACGTCTTGCTGAGTTGAACGTGTCAATAAAAAGAATCTCTCTGGGGCTAAATAAATTATCAAGTTCTAAAAAGAAGAGGTGAAAAACTCGAATGTTCTACAAACTGTATGAAATAAACATATAGTAAATGCTATACACACATATATGGAAATTTGAGGTTCTATACAGCAATACTGTACATATGTAGAAGAAATGAACTGTATTCTATGCATTAATCTAAGTAGTGTTGAAAACTGTGTCCAGGGTCCTCTTGGAACGTACTTTGGAAATACTAGATAAGCAACAGAAAAAGTCCTCCAAGGTTCTCTCCATCTTGTACGAGGAGAACTGCTCGTTGATCGTGGAAACGAGCAATTGGCGTGTTACGAGGTATGTATACAAATATATGCAGAAGATTGACTTGATCACTAAGCTTGATAGATGACATTGACGATCTTATCCACGTTAATTATCATTATTCAGAGGAGAACACAGAGTCGGCTAAGCTGAGTGCACCAGTCATCAGTGAGAAAGCAGCCGATCACTGCCGTACTATTCCTCCCGCTGATGACGTGTTCCTGCAGGACACAAAAATTGAAGACTACAATTATCACTAGCATTGCTCAGAGCCAACAAATGCTCTTGTGGCCCGTGGCAGAAGCAAACAGAGTGGTCCACGTCTCTCTAGCTATCCTGCATCAACACAGGCGCTGTTAAATTAAATTGATATGATACGATGATTTCCTTGGTTGGCCTTCCTGACCATGTGGATAAGCCAAAAATGCTATGCTATGTATGTATTTCTTCCAGGATAGGAATAGATTTCGCCCCATCATGAGTATGACCATGATAGGATTGGATTTATTTAGAAGCCACCACAACTGTACTAGAAGCAACAATTTACAGCGAGATCAGCTACAATTCACCCATGCACAGAATGCGGTGGAAGATACTGTATCACCTTGTCTCTCCTTGAGCTAATTTCAATTTCGCCTGCTGACAGCTTATCGTCTAGTGCGTCTTCTAGTGCTTGTCTCTGGTCGCAGCTGAACCAGAGTGGAGAATTACCGGTTTTCCACAACTGCGATCGATATGAATTCCTGCTACGGCAGCTGACGCGTTTGCACCTGCAGGGATTATTTTTTTACACCACCACAATTATTATTTACAGGGCCTACTAATTTGCTTCGGGAAGGGCCTGTAATCACAATACCTGTGAAGCCGCTGTGTGGGCCTAAGCTATAGGGGGATGCCAGGCGGCTGACAGCCCGGCACTTTGGCTTCAAAATCTGAGGTTGATATCAGGCATAGGTATCAATATGAATCAGTAAAAAATAATTTCATGGGTGTCACAATACAGTTTCAAACATAAAAATTTTATGATCAGCTTCACTAGTAAATTTGGTGGTACAGTGATTACAGTCCTTTCCTGAAGAGAACTAGTGAGTGCTGTAAGTAAGAATTGTGGTGGTGTACATGCATAATAATCCCTGTCTGTTGGCAGAGCCGCAGCTGTCAACTAAGGGGTTAGCAGGCAGACACGAGCAATAAAAAGCTCTCTTTACGCGACAGACAGCAGACAGACAGCCTGCATTCCCAGCAATTCCCTTCCAGCATCACAGGTCTGAAAACTGGCTGAAGAATCCTCGTCTTCTCCACTCGCTGTCTTCCATCATGACCGGCCAACTCACCTGGCTCGTGACCGGCTGCTCGTCTGGCCTGGGCGAAGCGCTCGCCCACGCCATTCTCGCCAAGGTGCGCCATATCTTTCATCTTTCATTGAAGACTTCCTGACGTCTGCAGGGCGACAAAGTCATCGCCACCGCTCGCGCAAAAAGGCGCCAGCGGCGTTGAGCGCCTGGCGTCGCTAAAGGAAGCCGGCGCGGCAGTGCTCGAGCTCGACGTCACCGAACCGCAGGAGGTGCTGAATCAGAAGGCAAAAGAGGCATGGAATATCTACGGGCATGTGGACGTGCTGGTCAACAACGCGGGGTACATTAATGCTGGGACTGTGGAGGAGATCGAGTATGTACAGCCCTTCCAAGACCATATAGATACTCAGCGAGCATCCTGCTAACTGCTGCTCAGCGAGCAATTCCTCACCAACGCCCTGCGTAACAACATCTTTGGCCCGCTGAACCTCACTCGCGCATTCCTCCCGCTCATGCGTGCCCGCCAGACCGGCACGCTGCTCTTCATGTCGTCTGTGGGCGCCTACTACGGTGCCCCCGGCGCCGCCAGCTACTCAGGCTCCAAGGGCCCGCTGGAGGGCTTGATCCCGAACCTCGCGCTCGAAGTCGCGCCCCTTGGCCTGCGCACCTGCCTGCTGACGCCGGGATACTTCCGCACCAAGGTCATGACTCCCGGCAACATCCTGTACCGCGCGCCGCACCCGCTGCCCGAGTACGCCGAGATGAACAAGCGCATCCAGGCGGGCTGCAATGCCGCGGACGGCAACCAGCCGGGCGATCCCAAGAAGGCCGCGGCGCTGATTGTCGAGGCCGTCCGCGGCGAAGGCCGGTGTGAGGGCAAGACCCTGCCCCTGGGGCCGGACGGCTTCCGCGCGGTGCGGAACAACTGCCAGGAGAAGCTGAAGATCTGCGACGAGTGGGAGGAGATTATGTCGCAGACAAATCTGGAGTGAATGGTCTGAATCTGTTGTCGCGAGGGATATAATCAGATCATCAGCATTCGAATTCGACATGACATATGAATGTAATAATAGCAAGGCAAACGGGTTAATATTAACATTTTATTTCTGTTTGCGTCAAATAGGCATTAAGTTATTTTATTTCGGTATTGTGAATGACATTTTCTACCGCTGTTGTATACAAGTCGCTCAAGGTTGTGAACTAAACAATATTCGAACATGGATTACAGGTCATTCGAAGAGAAAGTAAGTACCTGGTCTATGACCAGATTTCCTAATCCAGTCTAGTCAAACAGAGCGATTGAAAAGGTAGAAATTTCCATTTTCGGGAATTCCTGTCAGCAGCCCTAATAAATCTAAAATTAAAACTTCCACCACGCTGGCGCAAGCACAACAGGGCTCTTGTGGATTCTTGTACAGCGGGAGCATGTAGATGAGGATGAGCCAGAAGCAACACAGCTTGTAGGTCGCTTCTTCATCGTCCGGGAGCGGAGCGTCAAGGTGCGGTAGGCCATGACCCACGCCTGTCCGCACAGAGTCTACAGATACAGGTCCGTACCGTATATATACAGTGTATGGACGAACGTATCCACCGTTACCAGTTTTTTTTTTGCCATCCTATCTGGTATGTATGTATGTACATGGGCGTAGTACAAGGCAATGGAACGGACATTTGCCTCGATCCTAATGCATGCATGCACAGCATCTCAAAATACATTAGTTCTTGTCGAGATGCATAGTCGAGTGGAAAGATGAGATGCCAAATACTCGCATAGAATTAGACGAAGGGCAAGCATGAAGTTCAGTCTGTAAAAAGCTGGCTGACTAAGCAGTCAGGCAGGTGGCTTGCGGGGATCTTCCTCCATGCAGAGCGCGTTCATCCTCAAATCTCACGACTGATGATCGAGATCAGCCCAGAGACCGATTGTTACAATGGTACAGCACTCCGTACCGTACACCCTGCCTGATACTACCCTCGAGACTAATTCCAGGATCCAGTGCCCTTGCCCTGAATTGGTGGCCTTTGGTCGGCTGCGGCTCTGACAGCACAGAGGAACCCTGTCGCGATCCAAACTCAACTCGATTTCGATCGACAAGCCCTGTCTAGGCTCACCCATACGGGACGACGATTGGTCGAGACATGTACCGGACGGCTCGACCGTGTGGGATGTTGGGGGCCTGACATGTCGATCATGGACCGAGACCTACATCAGGGTCTTGCCTGGCCGATGGCTGCCATACATGGTCCCTAGCCCTCCTGGTCTTGTGTTTCTTACAAACACCGCCACATCGATGCCCAGTATGGCTGACATCCAATGATGGAGACCCATGCCAGCGATAGAGGGGCTCTCAGCCTCATTGCATGCGGTACCATCTTGCTGGTGGTTGCCTACATCACCATCGCACAGCACATGTTTGTATCAGGACTGACCATCATCCAATAGGGAATTGACAACTATCTGATTATTGTTGGGGTGGTTAGTATTTGAAATACCAGTAGGCATGGCGACTGCTGAAAGACCCCCCGTTCTAGTTTTTTTTTTTACTATATCCACAATTTTGGAACTCTTGACGACCAAATACAGCTGGGACAGCATATTAGCTTTGTCACCAGTGTAGAAGACCTGATCATTGTAAGTAAATCAGTAACAATGCCTACAGCACTGACGAGATAGAAGACCACTGTCGCAGAAGCCTTCCACAACCTGTCCACCCTCTAGATCAAGGCGTCTATCCTCATTCTATACCGCCACGTCTTCCCCCAGCAGGGCTTCCGCATCTTGACCTGGATGATGATTGTCAAGGACACACAGATTGTATATCAGCTGTGTACTGTGTATATCCAGCCTCGATTGGCTTTGAGAGACATGTCCTTGTACAGCGCTATATGGCTGACCAACGGTATTGTGTGTCTGCAGTCGATCATCCTGCTCAATTGGATTGTAGGATCTGGCTGCAACATTCAGCTTCAGAGTACATCGCTACCATCGCTGGAGAGCTGTGCGGGGTCTGCGAGTTGGCGATTCAGCGGCATGCCCCACCTGCAACGCAACATACAAACGAGGCCATCTCCAGTCTCTTGCTATCCTCTGCTCTTCTTCGTCTCCAATTCTCTTCTCGTCCTGACTTGAGCCAACCTCCAACCTCGTTGACATTGTTGCTTCGAACTGATCAGCGTGACCATGCCGTGGCAGCAGGTCTCCCCAGGCCGCTACGAGCGCGATTTTGACTCGCTCGAGCACTTCTACCGCGGGATAGCTGCTGCTGGCGAACCGCTGCGGAAGCAGCAATATCTGATTTCAGGCCGCATCCGGCTGAAGAGCGCGCCTCCGGTGCCTCAGCTGCAGCAGGCCTGGAAGGCCCTCCGCCACCAATACCCGCAGATCGCTGCTGTCGCCAACGAGGCCGGCGACAAGTTCGTCTACACCGTGCCGTCGCCCGAGGCTCTGGATGCCTGGCTGCAGGAGACGTTGATCGTCGACACCAGCTCCTCGGCTGACAGCCTCTACTCGACCCTGACGCCCTCGCCTATCTTCAAGCTCTACTTCCTGCCCCATGCCCGCGAGCTGCTCTTCCGGACACCACACTGGCGCATTGACGGCATCGGCCTGTTGCACCTGCAACACGCCTTCCTGCGCCTCCTCGCCGAGGGCGCCCCGGCAGAGATCACATTTGACGGCTCTGAGGCCGCGCGTCTGGCGCTCTCCCTCGACGAGGCTGCTTCTGTCCCACAGGAGGTCACATCGGAGATCAGCCAGGCGGCCGACGCCGAGCTGGGCGCGTTCCTCGCCGGCCAGCCTGCCATCACCATCGCGACGCTGTCCAACCAGCTGCCCGCCGCCACGCAGCGCTACGGCATCAGCTTGCCTGTCGACCTCAGCCAGCGCATCATCGCCGCCAGCAAGGCGCGCGGCGTTCACGGGTGACGACGTCCGTGCACGCCGCCCTCGTCGTGGCCACGCAGCCACACGCGCTACACGACGACGACCCGTCGACGCGCGGCACCCCGGCGCAAATACACGACCTTAAACGTCGTCGACCTGCGCAAGTACCTGCCTGTGCCATGGAATGGGTCGCAAGCCGCCGTCAGCGTGTACCACACGGGAGTGCCGTGCACGGTTGACCTGGATCAGCATCGCCATTTCACGTCGATTGCAACCGTGCTGGGCGCGGGCTACAAGCGCGACCTCAGAAAGGACGAGCCGCGCAACATGTTCGGCTTCCTGTCCGAGTACGTGCGCAAGGTCCTGGAACTCCTAGGCGCGACGCCGGATGACCTGCTCGAGGTGCCGGCGCACCCGCAGCTGAGCTCGCTGGGGGTGATCAACGACTATGTGCAGACGAGGTACGAAGGAAAGACGGCGACCGTCGAGGTCGAGGACTGGTGGGTGGCCGTCGAGGTGGCCAACCGGCTGCTGCAGTCGTACGTCTGGACGTGGAACGGGCAACTGCATCTGGGGGTCAACTACAACGAGGCGTTCTACGAGCGGAGCTTTGTGAAGCAGTTTGTGGAGGAGTGGAAGGAGGTTTTGGTGAGGGAGTTGGTGGGTGGACAGTAGTCACTATTATATATAGAGAGAGAGAGGTATTACTCCATACTTCGTACAACTAAGGTTTTACGTCCTTTTTCCTTTCGTAGGACTGCAAAACCTGCATGGAATATTAATACATGATTATATCATAAGATAGATAACTTCATAGAAATAAGCATAAATCTCAAAGTATCTACCTACCTACCTACCTATTTGGCATCAATACGTCTTTTTTCCCCCTCTTCTTCCTATTTTAAAAATCAGTTTGATTAAACTGTTCGATTCAGAATTAGTAAATAATTCCTTCCTTCCTTCCTTCTTTTTCCCCTTTTCCTTTCTTTTATATGAGAGTCCTTTTCTCTAGGCTCCTGTCATCTACAGCCCCCGTACCCTTTTTGTATCAGGCAGAAGTAGAAATATTTTCATAAAGAAGGACATCCTCCTGAATTTTGGACCGTAGGACTGTATATATTTCACTCGGGTGAAAAATATTGAACATGGTCATGACGGTGAGCATAAGCAGGAAGTCGAACACATAGAGGAAGACTTCATGGACGGATAGGTATCCTGTCGTTCCCTGGAGATACTGTACGACCCGTACAATGCATCAAACAAAGACCAGCGAACTGGTAAAGTACAGAACGCGGAGGTGTTTACGCCAGGGATTCCCCTTCGCAGTGGATGCGGTGGTAGGATCTCTGCAAAGTCGGTAGTGGAAGATCAGCGCCGTCAGGAGGAATATGGAGAAGGAAAAGATCTGGAGGAAAAGACCGGCGTCGATGATCTTCTTTCCATGGTCGATCTTATGTAGATCTTGGCTGGTAATCAAGGCGCCGCCTTCAGAACAACAGATGAAACTGTCAGCTCGCCTGCAGTGTGGCAGTGGCAGAGAAAAAGCATTGTTACTGACCGGCAGCCTGCAACAAGAGTGAGAGGACATCTCCGCATACGAAGATTTTGGTGAGCCACGTCCGCTTAATAATGGACTTGGACTCTCCATCCACCAAGACCATGATCCGTCCAAGTAGCATGTAGATACTCGCGGAGAAGAACGCCGGAGCAACGAGGATGAAGACCGTCTCAATAGCGAAGGGGGGCAACGTCCAGTCCGGGCTTTGGTAGGAGGAGATTATTCGACAGAGATAACCGATGACCTCGACTAGAAAGAAACATTTCCGATTAGGGGACTTCCATACAAACAAATGGCACTGCTGTCTTGTACTCACGGTATCCTCCCACGGTGAAAGGTATGAGCGCCCAGCTCCGTTTCAAGCCCACTTGAAGCGTATGGACGATTGTAGTCAATGAAAAACAAACGGCAGCAATGATCGCAGCCGCGGAAGAGGGATAATAAGGATAATAGTGGATATTTATTTTCGTCATGATGGAAGGTGCAGTAATAGATAGTTTAAATACTCCGTGGCCGTCGAAACTCAAGAGACGAGAACAATGCTAAGTACATCCAAATATATCTTGCCACGAGGCTGTTCTTGTAGATGTCGGCTTCGTTGAATGGATTCCAATCTCATGCAATTCATGTTGACCGATCACCGTCAATTATATATATCATGTAGTGACAACTGACGCGTTGACAACAAGGCACAGCATACCGTACACTTTACTCGATTCGTAGTAGAAGTTGAATTTCAAGAATATGAATAATATTCTAGACCGCTGCTGGCCTCGAAATCAGTCAACAGCAGCAACCAATCCAAAAAGGCAAAAGTGGCTGAGCATGCCAACATCGTACACTTTGCCTGATCTGGCCATTATGATATCAAACGAGAAGTTTGTTATGCGTAAGCATCTTCTAGGAGCACCACGCTAAGCCACGTAGGATTAGTCTCGCCCTTAGCTTAATTATGGAGTATCGTCATGAATGAGACGGAATCGCCCTCGATCCCTCTATGTTTGTCAGGCATTACGCTACTGTCGCCTCGATTGACCAGAGGAGTTCTTGGATAGGGGACACAGGAACCGGGACATGAACGGCCTCCGCAGGAGCCACATTAAGTCTCGACATGGATGTGGACAGTGTAAGAAGAGGAGGTTGAAGGTATGTGCTACTTAGTATGCATCTAGCCCACCTTAGCACATGCTAACAGGTTTCTCGCAGTGTGATGAGAAGCCCCCTCGCTGCGGCAGATGCCGAACTAGAGGGCTGAAATGCGACTATGAAGATAGATTTAGGCCCGAATTGTTGGCTCCTAGTTCCATATCGGCTTCTCACCATCTAGGCTCAAAGATCACTTTTGAATTTGACAAGCTCTCCTATGGGGCTGTGCCGGCCCCTTCGACGGTCTCCAAAGACTCCACTGAAATTCCACTGTCACAACGTGGATCTTTCAAAAATAATGCTTCTTTATGTCGCTCTTCGGCGATTACTGGGCCAAAAATGGCAATTTCATCCCGGACTCAACTCATCCCAGACGACCTGCATTATCGAGACTACCAGGTCATGCACCATTACTCGACAGTGACAGTCTTTACAATTACCTCTGACTCGCGAAGACTGCCCGTTTGGCAGCATCTGATCCCATCGGTAGCACAATCTTCTGACTATGTCAGGCACGCGTTACTGGCATTTTCGGCTCTGCATATGACTCACCTCCAACCAGAGAACCAGCATCAACATCTTAGCCTTGCCAGTCGCCACCAATGCACCGCTCTCTCCCGGTTTCGAAAAAGTGTAAACAGCATTACTGCCGAGAATGCCGATGCGGTATACCTGTTTTCTCTCCTGGTGCTCCTCTCTGAATTACGGCTGATGCATCCGTCCTACGAGCATTATGACGGGAACCTTGATCCAATCGACAAGCTGCTTCAGCGGTTCATCCTGATCCGCAATATTGTCTCTTTGTGGAGGACCGACACGTGGTCACGTCCTGCGTCTGTCATCAGGAACTTGATCCAACAATTAAAACCCAGCGATGTCCATATTATTCCGTCGGAGTTTTATTCCATCCTGGAAGAACTCGAGGATCTCAACCAGAAAACGACCATCAATGCAGATGAACGCGAAATATATTCCCAGTCAATCCGACAGCTGGGAAGAACCTTGGCATTGATAATCGCCAAACCTAAAGATTGGTTTCCCGCGCTATTCTGGGCGATTTTTGTTCCTTTGCGATATATAGACGCGTTAAAAGCCAAGCGTCCTATAAGCCTCATCGTCCTGGCACATTATTGCGTTCTGATACATCATTCCCCCGAGCGATGGTGGATGAAGGGCTGGAGCGACAGGGTCTTAAGGTCAGTGATCCTGCTTCTTGATGAGTCATGGAAGCCGTATCTGTCATGGGCAAGACAGGCAATGCAGCCTGAAAAGGAGCTGTTCTGTGTAGCAGGTGAAAGTTCTTTAGAAGCAGGTCTATCTCTGCGAAGTTGTTCAGGCAGGAGATAATGAATAGTGGCAATCGTATCTGGACTATGCAGATTTGCTGCAGAAACATATATATCTGTGGAGTTTACCTGGTATAGAGCCTGTAACCTCTTGCCATTCTAACCCTTTCCTCTTCTTATCTCTCTGTCTCCCGTCTCTATTCTCTCCCTACCTGGGTTGCTTTATTCCGATGCTATTAGCTATGAGCAGAATTACCGAGAATAATGCAGTTATTTGTAAGCGATTCTGTTGTTGTAGTCAGCTAGACTTCCGTATAGATAGACGATCATAATTCATAATTTATTATTCATTAATCTTTCTAAGGTGCTGACACACTTACCTAGCAAGGTGCGCTTAAGCTTTACTGCGTACTAAAATACGCAGGCACTGACAGGATTGTGATCCTGGCAGCTGCATGCATGATTGTCACACTATCTGTTCCCTGGCAGATGCTGCTGCTGCATGCAACCCTGTTTGCATATCCTGGATAGATCTTGCATCTTGAATCCTGCATCTTGTATCTTGCATCTTGCAGATCTAGCCTTATGTTACCTGGACAAGGTAGCTATGATTAGAGTTGACATGCATATGCAGGCATATGTATTGTGGAGAAAAAAAAAGATGCATACAAGCACAACTGCATACATCAGCATTGGTGCTGTACTGTACTGTACAATGAGAAATTTTTACATTTTCAATGACTAGTAAATATCGCTTTCATGTCATATAAAGTCTGACTGAGCCGTATCCCGATCACTCGTACAGTACTCCCTATACAACAATATAGTAGGACATGGACTCTTTTCAGTTTATCGTCTCGAATCACATGATAGGCTGCGCATTTGCCAAGCTTAATTAGTAGATCTGCTTAAAATGCTCACTCACTTTTATTGTTTCCGTTTCTCTTTCCCAGAACAATCTGGGTTTGTAGGAAATATAAGTCACTCCAAAATACCTCCTCCCTCCTATTTAATTCTATAACTAGACACAGCTGATACATACGACCATAGGGTGTGGGAAACAGGGCTTCCCGTCCGCTCAGCCATACTTAATCCACACGCCGGCTGGTTAGTAGTTGGGTGGGTGACTACCAGCGAATCCCAGCTGTTGTACGTTTTTCCTCTTTTTTAGTTCCTCGAGAGGTCTTATCGAGGTCTGCAAGGGGCAAAAAGACACAGAAGACACAGTGCAGTTTATCCACGAGTCTGTCAATGACTTTCTCCTTCGAAATCAGAGGTTGCAAACGCTGGATACGGGGCTTAAGCCAAACGCCGTAGGCACCAGTCATGATCGTCTGAGGGCTTGCTGCATGACGTACCTCATGATGGAAGAACTGCCATTAGAAATGGATTCGTGGCAAGAGCGGGATCTTGGCTTCAGATATCCATTCTTAGAGTATGCTTCGACTTACATATTTGATCACGCCGAGGAGGCACAAGCAAGACGCATTAAACAAACGACTTTTGTGCAGCTGTTGCAAGAGCAATATAAGACCTTCCAGCGAGTGAGACTTTTTCACTGTGTCTTTGAAAAGAATCCCATGTGGGAATGTGGCGGTGGCCCAACATTACTCTACATCTTGTCAACTCACGTATACCATGAACTTGTCAACATTGTGCTGCTTGAGAAAGGAGCCGATGTTAATGCCCAAGGCGGATACTACGGCAATGCACTGCAGGCAGCTTTAGCTAGAGGATATAAGGAGATCATGGCGATGCTGCTTGAGAAAGGAGCCGATGTTAACGCCCAGGGTGGAGTTTACGGCAACGCGCTGCAGCTGGCTTCAGTCGAATCTGACTATGGCAATAGTGGGCATAACGCAGTCGATCGACCGCCCAGAATCGACCATCATTTGAGCAACGTCATCGTGCTCATAACTACTTTCTTCGCGGAATTGTGGAGGCAGCTATTCGAGAAGCTAAATCTCAAGAATCACTAAATCGCCCGGGCGATAAGGGGTCTTGCTATATCCCAGCTTGAGATCGCTGTGCTAGCGTATTCGGCATGTACAATCATCATGTACGTCCTTTGCTTATCGAAACCGCAAGACGTTCAAGTGCCGACCGTGATACCGTTGAAGAGCGAGCTCGGACGACAAAAGCTACAATAAAACTATAAAAATAGTGGATAGAAAGGGAAAAGGGAAGGGCAAGGCACTCCCTGCTGCTGCTCCTCACAGGCATAGATACAAGCCTAGCAGTAAGTTGATTAGGACTTAAATTCTTCTATTAACAAGAACTGACTTTTACTAGTTTATATAGCTGTTGCGCTGCAAGAGATTTGTTGCTACCAGAAATCCACAGAGCTATTGATTCCCCGCCTCCTAGGTGGTTCAAGAAATTGCACAAGACTTCAAGACCAGTCCGTGTTTTCAAGCTTCTACTATTATGGTGCTGCAGGAGGCAGCAGAAGCAACTCTTATAACTGAGTTTAAAAGTAGGTCACTGTAGAAATTAATATATAAGATATAGACTAATCATCGTCTTCATCCTTGATACCAACATTCTAGCCATCCAAGCGGCCCACGCCGAAACCCGGTCCGCGGGACATCCTCATCGAGGCCAAAGCCATCGCGCTGAATCCGCTGGACTGGGTACTGCAGACAACGGGCTACAGTATCGCCAGTTTCCCTGCCGTCTTGGGCTCTGACGTGGCAGGCGTTGTTGTCTCCGTCGGCTCAGAAGTGCCCGCGGATGCTCCCCAGCCAGGAACCCGCGTCGCGGCCTTTGCGCCCTCGTTCCAGTATAAAGGGGCCGCCGACTACGGTGCCTTCCAGGAGCGTGTCCTGGTGCCATTCAACAGCGTCGTCGCCCTGCCGGACGCGATTAGTTTCCCCGAGGCGAGCACGCTGCCCATGGCAGTCCAAACATCCTGGGCGGGATGGTACATGCTTGGTGTCCCCGTGGACACCCAGTATGCACCTGAGGACAAGAATGGCGTCCTGATCTGGGGTGGCTCCAGCAGTATCGGCACAGCAGCGATCCAGACGGCCCGGTCTCTGGGTCTGGTCGTCTATGCGACTGCCAGTTCCCAGCACCACGAGTACCTGAAGAGTCTAGGCGCGAGCAAAGTATTCGACTACAAGGCTGAGAATGTCGAAGAGACGATCGTCAAGGCAGTCAAGGACGACGGCGTCAGTGTGCAGATGGGCTTTCTGGCCACTGGTCCCTTGAAGCCGTTGAACGCTGACGGAGGTGCCACACTGGCGTCTGCGCCGCTTCTTCCCCAGGAATATCCTCAGGTCGACGGTGTCACTGTCAAGTTCATTACGCTGCCGTTCGACGAGAAGGATCGGGGCGAATATACGCGGCAGATGTTCCACGGATGGCTGAGGGCGAGGCTGGCCAGCGGGGAGTATATTCCGAGCCCGAGGGTCAGGGTGCTTGACGGCGGACTGGGAGCTCTCCGGAGTGGATTGGATGTGTTGGAACAGGGCGTCAGTGCAGAGAAGCTGGTCGTGGAGGTCTGAGTAAGCAACCTTCCACCTGGAATGCAGTACAGGTACTCAGACTTGGAGGGATTTGAATTATTATAAGAACATCTAAGAATAAACCACAAACGAACTTGAAATGGAAGTTTGGGGCAAAGACGGCTTGAGGGTTGTCCTTATATGAACTATACTGCCCACAGTAAGGACGGATTGCATCATACACGAGGATCTCCAATGGAGATCCGCATGGGCAGATTCTCTTCGAATGGCAGGCTCCAATATTAGCAATAGCCGGCATTTTGACGAGCTGAGCGGTTACGGAGGCAGATCCTAACTCTAACTCTAGCTAAACACATTTCCATATTATCTTATCTCTCATAGTAGTCCAACTTTGCACTAGGATATAGACTCAACTACAAAGACGGTCTTACTGGTCTCGAATCAATTAGTCTGGCCATGCATGTTAGGTAGGTATAAGTCATTAGTTCATTCGGCTATCCATATCAACGAACAAACCGACAAAAAAAATATGAAAGATAACATGGAAATGAGCCTTAATATACATGCAGGTTGCTTTTCAATAGCTGAAAACCCATCAACACACGACCCTCTCCCTTGCCAGCTTCTTGCCCTGGCCCCTCTCTCACGAGCAGTATTTCCCGCAATCAGCAAATCGATATGACTTGCCCTTCGGGACTGGGAAACAGCCGGAAGTAGCAAAACCCATATAATCACTATCTCCAAATTTTGGTTTGCATGTTGAACCCTTTTCGCAGTTACAATCTGGCTCGTCATAGGCGCGAAGATCCGCCCAACCCTCATCGGCGTTGGCCTTGTAGCCCTTGAAATAGATTGCAACTCGACCGTTCTCGTTCAGGCAACCGCTGTTGCCCGTATTGACCCACTGCCCGCAATCCTTGCATTCAGCATCGTTGCAGAATTTGACCCATGAGGCGGAAGAAAGCTGTGCGCTGAGCAGCGCGATGAGAGCGGCAAATCGGAGCAGAGGTGCCATCGTATAGTCACAAGTAATCACAAGAGCTCGAGGGTATTTGGAATTGAAGCTGGTAACAGTCAGTCAAAGCCACGAGGATGGATGATTCGTTGGGTTTGTCTTACTTGGATGTTTGATGTAGAAGAATATTTCCACTTTCAATAAATCTCGTCACTTGGAATTGTATTGATGCAAAGACACCTCATCTCTAAGGAACAAACACGGCATATAAATACTTATCCTGTGGCAGAGGATCGACTATTACCCCAACACCGCGTGCATACTGCCGTTGGGCCAACAACTATATTTCGTGGGGGCGAAACGCAGTAGTTGGTCCGCAGGATTCTTATTCTATCCACATACGGCGGTTCTGAAACCGCCTTGCCCCCCAGAGTAGTTTAGCTACATTGAAATAAACAACAGACTGGAGAGTTTATCAAGTTAAGCGCGCCGTGGCGGCCTCAGTTGAGGGATTTTGCTGGGGTTTTGCCTTCAAACTGGAGATCTTAGCCCCCGGCCCCGGATCCTAGTTGGCGGCGACATAGACAAACCATTTCAAGTAGTTAAAAACAATTTTCTATAAAGGTATAAATAATAATAGTAATCTATTTCAAATGAAAACAAAAATTACTAAATTTTCTTTATTTCCTTGTTTTTAAAGACTGCAAGGGCGAATAGCGAGCACTGCTACCACCTATATCTATAGGGTTAGGAGAGGGCCGGCGCTAAGAGCCGCCAGCAATTCAGGACTTTTGCCCAATTGGGGATTCCGCCCCTATCTGGATTGGGAGGTCCTTGATTCCTTCCATAGAGTTGATACTTTATTTAATTTTTTTTAAATTAAGGTATTATAATAAGTGTTACGCGCTGGGTCCAACCGTAGTCGTCGATACTTAACAATGGTGGTTAGGGAAGGATCAAGGGGTCTTCCTGACTCTATGTCGTTCACGAGCACGCGACGGTCTAGCTGACCCGGGTCTCCTCTCCTTGAGACAACGGCCTACCTGGCGAAGGGCTCTTCCTCGAACGATCTCTCACAAGCAAAGGGGTCTCGCAGGGGTATGATAAGGGTGCTTCAGGTAAACAAAAACGGTAACGACTAGGTCAGAGGCAACGCCTACTAGAGCTATACCGAAGTATACCACTAGTAGTAAGAAGTCTTACTGACCCCCAAAGTAAGTATCTTAGTAACTCAAGTTGAATGGATTGAATTGAGCGCGAGTAAGGAAAGACTAGATACATGAGTATAATTGTCCTTATTTATGTTTCTTCCAGTCTTCTTTCGGCCCCCTTTTTGTTCCTCTTTTGGTACTCCTTATGGTATACCGTTCCTTTCGTTCGTATGCCATTTCGTATACCATTCGTATACCATCCTGTATACCATTCCACGTGATTTCCAATGTCCATTCTTGTCACGTGATCTGGAGTTCGCCCTATTGCTGCCTTGCGGGGTAATTGTTTCATTCTGCATTGCTGTGTTGGACAGCGTCATCTCCTGTTGGTTCATAACAATAAGTTCGACTGATTAAGCTCGAATAATGAATCGCCACTACAGAAAAAAATGATTGCTCCGTAGATCTTAGTATGATTAACAAAATAATATGCTTTTCTTAAAATTTACTCCATTGTACTCCATACTCCGTATACAACAAAGAAGAATAAATACTAGCAAAGTTCTAGACAGCATTTTGGCCAAGACCATGCCAAGCCGGGATGTGGGCGCCAAGACGCGGGTTTTCGGGCCAAGTCTATATTAACTAACGGTTGCCAAGAGTCTTGGCAGGAATTAGGCTGAGGAATGACCTTCCTTTCTGGAACATTACTATCTACGGATTATCAACAAACCACTTGATAAAATAAAAAAATTAAAGGAGAAAAAGAAAAGGAGGAAGTAGATTTCTACCATATCATACACTCATACACTTGGCAGTTCACTGCACTCACACATACACTAAGACATGGGGACTAATTGACCCATCTATTCATAAATAGTAATTTCACGATCGTGGGCATACACCTTAATATTCGGCTCGTCGACGGTTGAATGAAAGAATGCAACAATGCCATGCTCGTCGTTGTCCGCGATGGGATATCTGCGGTAATCTACCGGGTACCCCGCGTCCGACATCGTATTGACAAACTCCTCACAGAGATCGGCATGGAAAAACGTATCTTCATTTTCATCATCCTTTATTGATGCCCCGACAAGAATGGCCCATGGCTGCTTCTTGAAGTGACCATCATTAGCTAAGCCCCTCTTCGTGGCGACGAGCATCATCATCATGTCGTGGATATTCTTCTCGTCCGCTTCTGGGTGCACGCTGCCCAGGATGACAATCCCAGGCGACGTGATTGCAATCGCCGATCCACTCCGGAGGTCCACCGTCATAAACGAATTTACCTCTGCGGTTCTGGCCTTGCGGATCTCGTTGAATCCGACAACCTCTTCGACGGAGTGTATGTAATCTCCGGCAGGAGCGATTTCTGGAAGGTCCTTGATATCAGGAAGGGGTCCGGTGGTGATCTTGGCTTGCTGAGGGATAGGAATAGTAGCCATCATCCGGTTCCTCGACAGACGCCGGAAGGTATTATTCAAAGTCTAGAAGAGATAGCAAGGAAAATGCAATGGATAAAGCACAGGACATGACTCCAGCCAGTGCTGTAGCAGCATTGTTTGATAAGACCAAGCCTTCGATGATGTATGTAGATACATGAACAATACTCTGCACGCACGGGGTGAAAAGGACTTTGTACTTACCAGGTAGATAGACAGGTGGATACAAGTAGATAGGAAGCAGAGTTGTCACCACTGTATAATAACAATCGAAATTGCAATCAAGATATGCTTAATGGGAAAGGAGAAAGCCGAACTTTATAACGCATGGAAATAACTTTATATTCCTAATATTACTCATTCTCGCTGCTATCAGTCAGAGGAGATGACTCCTCAGAGAGTTGTTTGACTCAAGGGTCAACGTAGTCATCTACTGGCAATATGTGTGTAGAACCAAAGCAAATGATTGCAATGCTTGATGTGAATGAGAATAGAGAAAAGGGAAAGGATGATAGTGTGAAAGACGAGGAAAGAACACACTAAAAATTGTTGTTCCGACCACTGCCCTGTTGATATGATAGAGAGAATTGGAATGAGGATTCTTACATAATGGCGTCATTCTGGATATCGCTCTACGAAACAAGGTGGTTCAATGGATATGTAAATAGAAAACATGGAGAGGTCAAGAAGTCAACTCTTTCGATAGTCTTGGTCATCCTATTATCGACTCATCTCAATGAGCTTGGTGTGAAGAGAGTGAATGGGATGTGTTTGGCTCCGAGTCAATCAGTCAGTATTGGACTAATCCATTCATATTTCATCCTGCATGTATTCTTCCAGGACAGATTTATTGCATCAGCATGGTCACGTATCCATATGCGAACAAATGCCTACCACTTCTGTGAGAAGGTATATGTCTACTACCGTACCGGATCAGGGGGGTTTATAGTGTAGTAGTTAGATTAAATAGTCTTTACTATAGAAATGCCAAAAAGTCTCCTTCCTTTGTATAGTAATTGTAGTAAGTTTATAGTTTAAATCTAGCCTTAGAAAAAAAGGTATAAATAATAGTTGTTAGTAAAAAAAAAGGATAATGTTAGTGAAAATACGAAATTGTGTTATTTTTAAATAGCGTCAATTTTTACTAAATGTTAATATCTTAGGAATGGTTAGGTTTACGTCAAATTTTCGAGAAACCGTCAACTAACCGTTAATTGACAATTTTTTCAAAACCCCCCCCTAGTCCGGTATGGTAACCTACTCAACTACCCTATCCGGAAGGTAATAGTGCACGCCCACCTGATCATTCGGCTGCAGCCCTCCTCTTGCCTTGATGCTGAGCGTCTCCTCAGGCACAAGGTCAAAGAGATTATCCTCGAATTCGACGCCTTCTTTTTCCAGCGTGGCGCCCTTGACGGGCACGTCGGCACTGACAGAGACGGTGTTTTCGGAGACTCTGACTTGGAGCTGTTTTGGTTTTTGGAATTGGACGTACCTAGCTTCGTTAGTAGGAAGAACAGGAGGTAGAGCGTTGCGTGACATATATATGTCTTACTTCAGCACATCCGGCCACGAGACGAATCTCGCAAGCTGCTTCTTCCCATCCTCATCGAGCAGATACGCCACCACAACCACCCTATTCGGATCATGGTCGACCTTGCTGCCCATCGGCAGGGGAAAGTGTCCCAACTCCGTACTCTGGTTTGCCTCGAGCGTGACCCGTCCGTGATCCTTATCGTAGATCTTAGCTCCATCAACGACGTCAAACGCCTTGACGTGCAGCGTCGCATTGTCGATTTTCTGTAACAAGAAGTTCGACGCCCAGACGTACACCTGGTGTTCGTGCGAGATGTACACTCTGGTGTATTTGTCTTGTGGGTGCGTGTGGACTTCGCGTTTCATGTCGACTGTGATTGGGGCGAGGTTTTGTTTTACTGCGTGGTAGGCGAGTTTGGGGCGGAGGTTGTAGTCGATTATTGCCCTGTAGAAGTTAGCGGAACATTAATTCTTTCTAGGACTGGAAGGGAAAGGTTGGAGAGAGATACCATGAAATTGCCGGCCAGCAGTCGTTGATCTGCCATACCAGAGCCCCAGACGTATACTCCCGTCCAGGCCCCTTCCAGTTCCTTCGCCAAAACCGATACGCCGCGCTCAGACACTCCGCCTGCATCAGCTGTGTCATGTAGATGTATTGCTTCAGAGGCCGGGTGCTGAAGTCAAAGTTTTCTGCCAAATACCTAGAATCATCTCATAAATTAGTACGCATATCGTGAGGAACAGTCTCTCGACTTACCCCGCCAATCTCTTCTCATGACCAGTTGCCTTATTGTGAAAGTCCATTGTCTTCGACAAGGCATATCGCTCTGTCCCTTGCCCGACAAATGAGTCGATCGTCTTCTCGTCTGGAAACGCCTCCATGCCGAATTCCGACACGAACCGTCCGGACAGCTTGTGGAAGTCTTGATACCGCTCCTGCCTGCCGTGCCAGACTAGTTGTCAAGTTAGCAGCTGCTATGCATAGGCATTGAAGGGTGGACTACCATTCCACTGATGGATATCGCCCACCGTCGCATCCGTCGTGTCCTTCCCGCCGTACGGGCTGCCAAAATGATAGTACGTGTCTGGCACCAGCTCCTTGGTGACGTCCACCAGGATCTTCTCGTAGATATATCGCGCCGGAAAGTCCGTTTTCAACCAACTGTCCGCGTCCTGGTTGCCCGGGTCGTATTCCAGATGCTCCGATTCCTGGTACTGGTAGTCCTCGTTGTTACCCGCGTAGATGACGATCGAGGGATGGTGGCGGAGGCGCTTGACGTTGGCAATTGCTTCCTCCCGCACAGACTCGCGGAATGCTGGGATCCTTGCCGGGTAGTTGCCGCACGCGAACATGAAGTCCTGCCATATCAGAATGCCGAGCTCGTCTGCCGCGTCGTAGAATGCGTCTTCTTCGTATATGCCGCCTCCCCAGACGCTGATGTTATGTCAGTTTCTCTCCCTTCTACATCAGATTAGTTTAGATCTACACGTACCGAACCATGATTTCATTCCCATCGCGAACCAGCTTCAGCCAGGAACGGTATCGTTCTGCAGTGATGCGGGGAATGAAGCTGTCTGCGGGGATCCAGTTCGATCCTCCACAAAACACAGGTATGTTGTTGATCTCAAAGAAGAAACTAGTTCCGGGGGCGTCTTTCAGATCGCGCTGTACGAGGACTGCTTTGCGAATGCCCAATCTTTTGGACACGGTATCGAGTTCCACACCGTCTTGATGGAGAGTTGCCTTGAGTTGGTACAACGGCTGCTTGCCGTATGTCGCTGGATACCACAACTGTGGCTTTTCAACGCGTAGTACCGTCTCCGCATGTTGGTCAACTACTTTGGCTGTCCCTGTCTTCACGACTTCACTGTCTAACGATAGCTCGAAAGTGACTGAAGAACCAGTCCCCTCAATGTCTGCCTTGGCCACAATCTGCGCCGAGTCAAGCGTGTCCGCGACTTGCGTTGTGAAATACAGATCCTCGATACGGGAGCTGTATATCTCCAGGTAGACAGGTCTCCACGGTCCTGCAGTCAGCAAAGTTGGACCCCAGTCCCATCCCTAGAAGAGAGAAATTACAGTGTTAGCGATGCATGATAGAAAACATACAACAGCTAGGGTTAACATACATAATGGTACTGCGCCTTGCGTACCACAAGTCGACTGGAGTCGCCATTCCAGCACCCCCATTTGTGATCAGTGAACTGCTCCTGGAGTTTCTTCCCCGCAATCCACGCGCTGTCGAAGGTGATCTCGAGCGTATTCTTTCCTCCCACGATGATATTATCCGTGACAGCCACGCGTCGCGGAATGAACATATTATCCGATTTCAATATTTCAGCGCCATTGAGCACGACAGTCGCAAAAGTATCCAGTCCCTCAAAGGAAAGGACAACCTTGTGCTTTTCAGGAATGCTGGCAGGCCCGTCGAATTTCGTGCGGTAGAGCCACACCTTCTCCCCAACCCATTGCACCGCGGACTCGTTCTGGGCCCAGAACGGGTCCGGGATTTTCTTATGGTGCAGCAGATCTAGGTGCACGTTCGTCGGGAACTGAGAGACCGGTAGCCAGGTGTCATCCTCTGCTTCTTTGAAGTGCCAGTTGGCCTTTAGTGGGATGACCACATGGGTGTTGCTCTTGCCACTCATGCTGCGTCGACTGACGGCTCGTATTGTGAATGCTTTCAGCGGACTGGACTTTTATAGAGCAGCCTGAGAATATGTACTGGCAGATTTGGTCTGTTGGCTTGTCGAACAGAGCTGCGAGAATGGGTAGAGACAATCTCAAACAGATTCGACCATGTCCTGGATAGTCGATTATATACCGAATATCCTCAGTGATTCATTCACATAACAACATATTCCAGCTGAACAACAGACATTGAATTGATATAAAGGTCGAATTTCATATCTGGCCAACTCCACGTCGTGTCGGGATGCTGCTCCGAAAGAGACGAAAGACGGAGGCCACCCTCCGCTCACGTGCATCCAGCATGCGGGGAAGGCATTCCATGGATGGATGTGCATGCGTTCCGTAACACAAATTTAGAAAGATGATGCGACCTTAAGTAATGATATTTGGCCTAATGGCTGAATGGATATTTTCTGAAGGTTGCCTCGCGATTAGCTGGAGACGCTCCAAGGATGCCCCTCCACCATTATGGTCTGCAACTGCGTGTATAGACTCCCAGGCTTCTACTAAATAAAGAAATATTGATAGCTCCAGTTGATAAGAAAACGCTCTCTAGTCGATATACTTATTGCAACGAGATTGGCGGAATAATACGCGGGGTAGATAATCGTCCCACTGCGGAGTGTCGGCTCCATGACAACTAGCGATAATAGTTGCTGAATGAGAATGCAGCAGCATGTGAGCGTTCATTCGACAGCTCTGCTTTAAAATAGATCTGAGAATTCTGACAAGACTTGAAATTTAATTCAATTCTGTTATGCATCGACACTAGTGTGCTGTCCCCGTGGGAGCTCGCCCTTCCATAGATCCTGGCGAAGTGCATGCGAATATACTAAAGATGAAGTTCACAGAGGGCATGTGGCGCCTCCGGGTGGGATTGACTTGTCCTGGTAACTGATTTGCGGTCGATTCATTAATGCTGACATCGACCTAGGAAGGCGTTCGGATAGACTGGATGAGCAATGTCGAGCGGCTGAGCATTGACGATGAGACTGTCAACCTTCTGCTGAACAAGCTTCAGCGACATCGTGGAGATACTCTCAATTCGGGTACCGGAAATATGCAGCTGTGGTCTTCCTTTCTGCGGTATAAAGACTAATCTCAATCGTAGCGACGATATCTGCGCGGGTAACTTCTCCTCTTGAGGGTGTCATCGGGGTTAAGTTAGTTCATTGGTAAGGACAGAATCCTCTCATAGGATGATCATTGACATTCGTGCGACAGGAGTTGCTAATGGTGTTTAGGGACGGCGAAGTCGACAAGGGACCGCATTATCGTCTCAACTCCACCACAGGCCATGCGAAGATTAACCACATCAAGGGCGAGAAACTCAGCTACGACAGTGGACCCCTGAATCTTGCTGTCAAGACAGTCCGTAACGAGCTTGGCTTCGTTTATTCCGGCTCGCAGGGAAAACTAACCGGCCACTCTTTCCGATCAATTGGGTATGTAAGCGATCACACCACCGAGAAGACGCGATGGCAAGACGGTCTGTTCATCGAGCACGAGGGCTACATGCTGGCAGCCCTGGACCTGGGCGTGGGAGAAAAGTTGTACGGCCTTGGAGAGCGATTCGGACCGTTTGTCAAGAACGGCCAAACCGTAGACATCTGGAACGAGGATGGCGGTACGTCGTCTGAACTCGCGTACAAGAACATCCCCTTCTACCTCAGCTCTAAGGGCTATGGCGTGTTCATCAATCACTCTGGAAAGGTCAGCCTGGAGCTGCAGTCTGAGCGGACCACGCGAGTCAATATCTCTGTCCCCGGGCAGGAGTTGGAGTATTTTGTTATCTATGGTGGCACACCGAAGCAGGTGCTGAAGCGGTATACGGCCTTGACGGGCACGCCTAGTTTGGTGCCCTCATGGAGCTATAACCTGTGGCTCACAACTAGTAAGCGAGCAGAAGACCCATCTAGTGATATTCATCTGACAGGCGCAGGTTTCACTACCAACTACGATGAGAACACCGTGACCGGATTCCTGGATGGCTTTCGAGACCGAAACATTCCTCTGGGCGTCTTCCATTTTGACTGCTTCTGGATGAAGTCCTACCAGTGGTGCGACTTTGACTTTGATTCCGATATGTTCCCAGATGCGGCGGGATATCTGCGGCGTCTCAAGGAGCGAGGATTGAAAATCAGTGTCTGGATCAATCCTTATGTTGGCCAGGCGTCGCCCCTGTTCAAGCAGGGGAAGGAAAATGGCTATTTTATCAAGGTAGTTGCTTCGACAGTTTTTATCTCTGAAGAAGAACCGTGGATCTGACTACCTCGCAGCGCACCAACGGCTCCGTCTGGCAATGGGATTTCTGGCAGGCAGGAATGGCCATTGTCGACTTCACCAATCCTCGAGCAGTCGAATGGTATACAGGCCATCTCCAGCGGCTCATGGATATGGGCGTCGACACGTTCAAGACCGATTTTGCGGAGCGCATTCCTTTTCGAAACGTGCAGTATTACGACGGCTCCGACCCGGTCCGGATGCACAACTACTATGCTTTGCTGTACAACAAGGTTGTCTATGAAGCGATGACCAGCCAGGTAGGCAAATCGAAGGGTCTTCTCTTCGCCCGTAGCACGGCACCAGGGGGCCAGGCCTTCCCCGTCCACTGGGGTGGGGATTGCGAAAGCACCTTTGAGGCCATGGCGGAATCCCTGCGTGGTGGTCTCAGTCTGATGCTGTCGGGGTATATCTTCTGGGCGTCAGACATTGGCGGATTCGAAGGAACACCGCCTCCAGCGCTGTACAAACGCTGGGTGCAGTTTGGCCTGCTATCATCCCACTCTCGACTGCACGGCTCGTCTTCGTACCGGGTGCCGTGGATCTACGGCGAGGACTGCAGTGACGTTCTCCGGGACTGCGTCAAGCGGAAGATTCTGCTGACCCCATATCTCCTCCAGGAGGCCCTTGTTGGTCACCGGGACGGAACCCCTTTGATGCGACCTATGTTCTTGGAGTTTCCGGATGACCTGAACACGTACACCATTGACACGCAGTACATGTTCGGAAGCAACTTGCTCGTGGCGCCGGTGTTTTCAGAAGAAGGAACGGTGACATTTTACGTTCCGCGCAGCGAAGACGACAACAACGGCAAATGGATCTCGTGGTTCGATCACGAGCACACATACGAACCTGGTCAGTGGTATACCGAGACTCACGGGTTTGATACGCTGCCGATCCTGGTGCGTCCAGGGTCAGTGACGGCGGTGAATCCAAAACTCCAGACTCCGCAGGACGATGCCATAGAGGGGCTAGAGTTGCTCGTCAACGGCAGTATCAGCAAGGAGAGAGTGATCGAAGTGGTGAATCCTAATCAGACCCACGAGGTGCTGCAGAGAATCAAAGTCGAACCAGACTCAACGGCCGAATTGGGTGTCAAGGTAGAGCCCAGTGTGAAAATCGTTCGGATTGACAAGGAATAGAGGATTGCCATGTAGGCATCACCTAAAGCAGGGCATGATATCCATACTACAACAAGGCTTCAATCTCATCAACGTTTCATGTGTGCGATAATCTGTAGTAGATATGATTCTTATTCCTCTGCTTCTATCGTCTGCCTAAAGTCGATAGCCTTCTCATGACAAAGAAACAAAGCGATGGGGGAAAAGACCAGAAAATGGAATCGAAATTCCACCACGGAAATCTTGTCAATGCAGGCGATAAAAATGATCACTTTTGACTATCACTAATCCTAGTTAACAGGAACGAGAGACGTTTTTTTTTTATGTTTCCAGCTCCTTCCCGGGCAAGATTGCTATGATCTAGCGCTGACAAATTTGAAATGGAAATGAAAAGGGAGAAGAAGACCAATTCCCATGCGTGCTTATCTACCATCACTCGCCCGCAACACAAGGGCTAGGATGATCTCGGACACATGACGCATGTGCCGATGGTTACTTACGTTCCAGTGGCCATATGACTCCATTCTGAGGAAGCTGCGAGTTCGCGCCCCAGTCTTCAGATAGTTCAAGTACGACTGACTGGTCGTATGACGCGAACGTCAGGTAAATTTCGTCTTGGTCCTGTGACACCAGTAGGTGGCTGCTTAGATTAGCATCAACTACAAAACAGTGCAATGGAGCAGGGTCAATAGACAACACACCGGCCTGGAAGTGTCATATCGGGCCTGTTGTTGTCGTCCAGAATCTAGGCGACCATCTGAGCCGATTCCTGCATTTGGATCTCTGGAACAACCTTCCCCCGCTTTTTTGCCTTAACTTCGACAATAGCCTGCAACTTCTGGTTTCCCCGCTTGGACTGAAGATAGCCATCGGTGCGGGCTTCATAGGAGCCCGATCTAAACCTGGCTTTAAGGGCGAGACGTCTCATCAGCCACCGGCTGTCGTTGCCGGGCGTTTTTAGTGTCAACGCCTGAAGGAAGCTCATAGTAGCCGCATTCACGGTCTCTTCTTCGGGGTTCAAGCCTCGCTGGCTTGCTGGAAAGACGTCCTGGGAACGAGTCCGCGGGCCGGATGTCGCAGTAAACGTAACTCTCCTTGAGGGTTTGAGCTGATGGTCCTCTGGTGCTCCCTTGGCAAGTGTAACCATGGTTAGGGTGACGGTCGACACCCTCGTCGCAATTTGGCCGGCAGCGCACGGACAGGATATGATAGGGAACCTTCGCTTCACTCCCACTCCTCCTCCGTTTTTCTCATCGCTGCAATCTGTCTTTTGTGCTGTTGTCCCTCGAGAGCAAGCAGTCTGAAGTCTTTCAACTTTTTCCATCAAAATGCCACCAAGGGGTCTTCCCCAAAGATCTCACGCATCGGCGCAAGACGCGATACAGGGGATATGGGACAGACTTCGTCAAGATAAAGGCAAAAGCTTCGCTGACGAGGACCTGATCCATCTTGGGATCAGACGCCGGGCATTTCCAATGGATAAGAAGGCAAACCCCAGCATTCGCCCCACGGTACTTTGAACCGATGTCGGAATCGACATTGAACGAATATCCTGTCGACGATGACGAATTACAGCTTGTACTTAGAGATACTCCGCACCTGCTCAATTACAAAGACTTTGATGCAGAGGCCGCAAGGTTCCCCAGCAGGCTTCCACTGCCACAACGGATAGGTCTGCAGCCCTATCACTGCACACGAGAGATATGGCGCTACCTCAAGGTCCAGATTTACAAGGTCCCAAGGCAGAACATGCCTAAGAACGAGTGGACGCTCGTAGATCTCACCAGTTGGCATAGGATTTCGTTGTAAAATCAAACCCCCTACCCCCATAAACCGTTTGTGAAGGCACTAACAGGTTCTTAGTGGGCTGGGGAACGATGATGATGTACACCCTCTTTTGCGTGACCAGGAAGGTCTCGATGGCGACAATTACGAGACAGTTCAAATGATGGAGTGGGAGGCCGCAAAGATGCCTCATCTCATCCTGGTCACCTGCCACAAAGTCAAGGGTGACAACCAAAGCCTCCTGTATGGGGAGTTGGCGCCCATTGTGGAGGCAATGGACGTTCGTTTGATCAAGACGAGTATGAAAAGTGTTCTACGGCTCCGGTATGTTGATATCCTGCTCTAGATATGGGGATCTTGGCTGAGATGGAGCGCGAACAATACTGATAGGTCCTAATGTTGTCTCTCATGGGCCCGAAGCACGGGCACGGAGCTTGCGGAGTTAAACGAGCCATCTCCGATCGGGAAGGAACGACGGCGATCTCACCAGATCGTTTATCTCCGGCAAGCAAGATCGAAGACAGCCGTTTCCCTCGATCTTTATGCCGGAGACTCGACGTCTTCTCTCTACCATATCAATGGATAGTAGCGAACAGACCGAGCTTGCAAAAGCCCAGGCCCTAGGGGAGATAATGACGCCGGCAATTCCATTGCTGCGCATGTCTCCGCAAATGCGCGCTCGCGATCCGGACGATGACTGGACGGGTCGTTCTGACCGGGCAGAGAGGAGACGACGACAGAATCGATTGAATCAGAGAGCCTACAGTGAGTAGACTTCATTATCCTATCCAGACTTTGATGCCTTCCATCGCAAACTGCATGAACTGGGAAAAAAAAATTGGCGATTCACGACGTCTACCTGGCTAACATGATTTATCTCTGATAGGGAGACGACGACGGGCTGAGAAGATCTTGCATGGCGCAGCAGCTCAGTTCTGTAAGAAGCTTCTATTTGCAGTCCAAGAGCTGCATCTAACGACCTGCTTTTTTCTAGGGCAAGAGTCCCGCTCAGAGTCGGTCCCATCTTGCTATGAAACCGCGTCTCTGTCTTCCCACACTTCCCCCCTTATGCTAAGTCCCCAACCCGGTCATGGAAATAAGACGGCAATCTGCAGATTACCAGCTGAAGAAAGAAGCAAGATGATGAATGACTTTGAGGAACGGGCCTACATGCACTACATTCTGGGCTCACCTCAGGCAGATCTCCTCCTCCACCTGGTACGCTTCAATGCCTTACGGGCGTATATACACAACACAATCTTCCTAAGACTGACAGATGACGATGTGAGGCTGGATGATTCCCTATCTCCATTTAACAAGGGAGTCCTCACCTATCCCGAGTCCTCACTTCCGCCCAGCCTACGCCCGACTGCGTTGCAGCTATCCATCCCGCATCATCCTTGGTTTGACGCGATCCCCATTGCGAGGATGAGAGACAATCTCATTCGCGCCGCTGACTCGTTTGATGACGGAAAACTGTGCGCAGATTTGATGGAGTTTACCTGCGAGTCCAGTGACAAAATCTACTTAATTGTCTGGGGAGAGCCCTGGGATCCTCGAGGGTGGGAAATCACCAAGTCGTTCCTCCAGGAATGGGGTTGGACCATCAGAGGCTGTCCGGAGCTGCTCGAATCTACCAACTACTGGCGCGCCAAACGTGGAGAGAAACCTTTGTTGTGGGATGTCTCCTAATTAGCGAAAAAAAAAATCTCATAACTGAGTTTCGCCCCGGTCGAGGACTCGGATTCCGTTAAAGAGAGCTGTTCGCCGTCTTGAGCTGAGGATATTGGAATATAGTACCTCCGGATTATCTGAATACGCCTCCTGTAAATTGGCTAGAGGATACATACCCAGCTCTGTTCTTTCTCTGAATAGCTATCCAAGCAACTATCCGTGGAGTACCAGGAGATAAAAACTTCGAAGCTACATCTTTACTCCAGGAAACTTGAACGGGGAAAAGTTTATCTCGGCCCGTCAGATGCCTCGGTATTCAGGAACCTTTGGAGTTTCATTTACCCTTCTCCGCAGATGACATCCTGATGACAGTGTGACATAAACCTCTGGTCTGTTAACTTTCGCGTCCGAGCTACCGCGACCAGCAAGTTAGTAAAAACCTTAGTATCGGGGAACACTCCCGGTCGGTCTACACAACTAACTCCTACGACGCCAGTCAAATCCATAACACATTTCGGCAGGCCATTAGTTGCAAAAAAAAAAAGGACTGTGACCAATCGATTTCTAACCTCACCATGCGCGTCCTAAATATCGGAGTGTTTCCAGTCTCCGGCGGGCTAGGGAGCAGCATTGTCAGACACCTCATGAAAGTCATCACGCCATCCCAGCTCACCCTCTGTGCACGCTACCCGGAAAAGCTGGCCAGGGAAAAGGACCAAGGGGCAATTGTTCGAAGGGCAGATTACAACGACAGAACGTCGCTAGATCCTGCCTTCGAAGGCGTTGATGTGCTCAATTTGATATCGTACGCAAGTAACGAGATTGAGCACCGAATAAAGGTCTTTTACCCTGAAATTTTCTTATTGCTATCTCGAGGTGGGATCTCAGTATCTTGGATGATTGACTTATGCAGGTCCATCGAGACGCCATCGATGCTGCCCGCCGAATGGGCGTCTTGCACATCGTCTACACCTCGCTCGCATTCGCGGGAGACGGATTGCCCACAACCGCCGCAGATGTGATGCGCGCTCACCTGGCAACTGAAACGTATCTCGCAGAGATCCGTGCCCATGACCCCTCCTTCACCTACACCATCATCCGAGAGGGGGTCTACTCGGAATCGTTCCCTCTGTACACGGGTTTCTTCAACCCCAAGGACCAACCTACCCCCGATGACCCCAAAGACACGATCGCCATTCCACACGACGGCCTGGGGCCTGGTATCGCGTGGGCAAAACAGGACGAGCTCGGTGAAGCAACCGCCCGGCTGCTGGTTCGGTATGTTCGCGATCCTTCCGACTTCCCGTATCTCAACCAGACCGTCCTGCTGTCTGGTCCACGGGCGGTCTCGCTAGCGGAGACGGTGGAGATCCTGGGTCGGGTGCTCAACCGCAAGCTCCAGATCCGCCCCGTGTCGGTCGATGAATATCTGGACCAACCTAAGGTCAAGAATTTCCTATACTACGGCGGAGGAGCCGGCACGCTGGCCCGCAGCTGGGCAACCGTGTTTGAGGCCATCCGGCGAGGAGAGTGCAGCGTGACTACATCTTTCTTGCGCGAGATCATCGGCCGTGAGCCAGAAGACTTTGAGACGACGGTGAGGAAATTGGTTGCAGTCGAGCCGAAAGAGGCGTTTGAGAGTGATCAAATAGAAACGCAGTGATATGACGTCAATCACTTTGATGAAGCGAGCCGTGTGCAGAGAAATAAACCGGAGTAAAAAGAGAGATAGCCTCAGGAATACACCTTCAACTGCTCAAAAATTCGAAGCACACGTCAGTCTTTGTTCTCTGGAGGCAGCAGTCCCTGAAAAGATGAGACTATATGTCAGCGCCTTCTCAACAAAAAAAAATACTAGAATAGAAAGAAAAAAGAAAAAAGAAAAAAGAAAAAAGAAAAAAGAAAAAAGAAAAAAGAAAAAAGAAAAAAGAAACCCACGTACTACTGTGTCGAGTTCATTGTCAGGATATCGCCAGAAATACAGTCAGATGGATCTTCAGGCCCGTAGACCACGACTTGCACTCCAATCTCATTCTTCACGTAGATGTGAGGGTCCCCGTGACCAGGCACCCACGGATCTAAATTTAGCCGAAGAAAGCAATCCGGCCATCTTTCGGAACTTCAGCATCGCTTTTCATGAATGGGATGCAGCTTCCTCCACCTCTAGGGATGTCAATTCCCACGAGTCGTCACATACAGTACGTACTCCGTATACCAGTGGAGAAATTCGGCTGATGTCATCTCTCCACACCATCCACCCCCATCCCCACCTCCACGACACGCTAAACACGGACTAATATGCTATCCTGGCCAAGCTCCAGACAACCCCGCCGGGGAAAAACCAGAAACATTCAAGCCTTGCGGGCCATGCCGCCATCGTCTTCAGTGAGCCTCTGGATTGGCTTTAACCTGCAGATCGCGAGCTCGCGTCGACCTATTCGTGTCATTATTTTCCCGAGACCAGCGACAGCCGACCCGAACTCCCGCACGCGGTTTGGCTGACTCGGTACGAACGTACGGAGCAATGGAACTCCAGCAGTGCCCGATGTCCCCAGTCGGGGAAGACTCCTAGCGGGAAACGCGATCGTGGGCAGATATAAGTCGAAGCTGGGGTCCCCGCACGATGCATTGTTCTGTGGCATGCGACAGTTTTTGCCTTTGATGAGCCTTGTCAGTCAATCCGCTGCCCAGCATGCAGTTACCGACGTTCCCCAAGATCTACAACACCTACTTCCTCGCGATTATCGCGACGATAGGTGGCATGCTCTTCGGTTTCGACATCTCGTCCATGTCCGCCATCGTCAGCACCGACCAGTACATTGACTACTTTAACAACCCCCATGGCGTGCTCCAGGGTGCTATTGGGTCTGCTTTGGCGGCGGGCTCCGTGGTTGGGTCGGCTATCGCAGGTCCTGTTTCAGACCGGATCGGTCGTCGCGACTCCATTATGTTTGCATGCCTGTGGTGGCTCGTCGGGACTGGGATCCAGGCTGGCACTCGAGGGTATGGTTCGCTCATTGCTGGTCGCGTGCTGAACGGGGTGTGCGTCGGAATCACCTCGTCGCAGGTGCCGGTGTACCTGGCCGAGATCAGTAAGAAGGTAGGCGATGTCCAGTTGTGTCATGGGTGGCAGCGGTCCTAATTACCTACTGGATCTGTAGGAAAAACGTGGTTCCATTATCGTCATCCAGCAGCTTGCCATCGAATGGGGTATCTTGATCATGTTCTTCATCGGCTATGGTTGCTCTACTATTCCAGGTCCAGCCTCGTTCCGCACTGCCTGGGGAATCCAGTACATTCCTTGCGTGCTGCTGATGATGGGTCTGCCGTTTCTTCCCCGGTCTCCCCGTTGGCTGGCCAAGGTGGACCGGACCGAAGAGGCGATCCAGACCCTGGCTCGGATCCAGGCTGGCGGCGACGTCAACGATCCCTTGGTCGTGGCTGAATGGGAGGAAATCACAACGGTGCTCGCTGCCGAGCGTGCAGCGCCGCCGGGATGGCGGAAATTCGTGTACAACGGAATGTGGCGCCGGACGCTGGCCGGCTTTACCGTGCAAGCCTGGCAGCAGCTGAGCGGAGCCAACATCATGACCTACTACGTGGTATATGTGTTCGAAATGGCCAAGTAAGAAGGCTCCCGACCGAGATAATGTTGGGAATTGTTACTGACTATCTATATAGTCTAACTGGCAACGTTCTTCTTGTCTCGTCTGGAATCCAGTACGCGCTTTTCATCGTTTTTACGAGCGTCATCTTCTTCTATATCGACAAGACCAGCCGCCGTAGCCTGCTGATTTGGGGAGCCCTTGCCATGGGCGCGTGCCATTTTATCGTCGCTGGAATTCTGTCGGCCGGGGAATATGTTCCTGGCGGCGTGAACGGCAACCTCAACGTCCTTATCAAGGTGACGGGAGACAAAGCGCACGCGATTATTGCATTCTCGTATCTACTGATTATTGTGTATGCCCTGACCCTGGCACCGGTCTGCTGGGTGTATGCTGCGGAGGTGTGGTCTTTGGAGACGCGTGCCACGGGCATGGTACGTATTTGTCGTGTCTGATGATCTAGTTGATTTACTGATTTGTTCCTAGGGTATTGCCGCCATTGGAAACTGGCTGTTCAACTTTGCTTTGGGATTGTATCTCCCACCAGGCTTTGCGAACATCACGTGGAAGCTTTTCATTGTGCATGGCGTGCTGTGCGTCGGTGCTGCTATCCAGTTTTTCCTAACGTAAGTTTCTCACACTCGGCTCTTAAGTAAGTTCATCCTGCTAATGGTTGTATTGTAGATACCCCGAAACCTGCGGCAAGACTCTCGAGGAGATCGAGGAGATGTTCAGCCCGAACGGGCCCTACGCATGGCAGACACGCAAGGGAGAATCCAAGCTGGATGCGCTCATCCAGGAGGCCAGGGAGAAGAACCTGCAAGTCAAGGACGTGGGTGCAACCGCCACCCATCACGAACAGGCCGTGACGGAGGTCAAGACGGAAACTGCTTAGACGATGGCTATCAAGTAATGGTGATGAAGTGCATGTATGTACCAGGAATAATGACTCGATATGAATGCAGGAATCAGTCGATGGAAGTCGTGCATCTCCACTCCACAGTACAGAGTAGATCGATCAACATGTCCATGAGCTTTGTAGTATTATCTCCTCGGACCAGGCTCGACCTTGACAGCCTTTCACCTACACGACACATTAAAGTCGCTCGCATCGCGACCACACCAATATTCCATTAGAAGGTTTCCCACCATGCCCAGGTAGGTAATACGAGCCATTCTAATTGGTGGGAAATTATCTTATCTAATAATAACACTCTCATAATCGCTCTATCCAATCAGTGTTTGCTATCCTGGAAGGGTCCACCGGACGTACCTATTTCCTGTTCAGGTTATTCTCCGCATGGGGTACCCCACAGTTCTTGTGTATTGTTACGGGGTGCATACGGGGTACGTACGTATGAACGTACGGTGTATGAATGGGGTGATGGTGATGATGATGATACCTTGTTTGTGGTGATTTTGAAGGAATGTGAATCTTTTGGTGATAGGTAGAATTCGATGATAATTATTTCTGATTGGCGGTGTTTTTTTTTTATCCTCTATTCGATCTACTCTGTAAATATGTATAGACTATAGTAGATACTTACATGTCCGTAGTTTCGTGAGTTGTGGCTTATTTATTCCAGTCCTATTGCTGGTACGATCATTATTCAAGACAATATATTATCCCTCAGCCGCTGTAAGGTACATACGTACATAGTTACTTATCTAGGTACTATTCGAAGTTTTAGGTTCTGATTATCTATTTGAGTTCATCCTTCCGTTCGGGATCATTTTCCCCGAGAGCCTAATATATAAACCTCTTGGTACCTCCCGAAGCCGCCGCCGAGCTTACTCCGTGTCCTGCGTACTAGGTACTCAGTTAAGTAAGTACTTATTTACCCAGGGGGTAAATGAAGTAATCGGTTAATTGTTATAACTGTTAATAGGGGGTCGGTTATTAATTGGTTATTAATTAAGCAGGCATTAAACATACATACAGTCCGCTAAAACATGTTTGTTATATTAATCATTATTATTAATTCAGCGAGCAGTCTGGATATATACTCTACCTGCCGTTCAATTAAAAGCGGATATCGATCGACCTGAGTCGATTATCTCGCAGTACTAATACTAGACTATACGTAATTATTTAAACCCTTGATATAGACATGCAGCCTGCAGGATATGTCCATGTGGTGGGCCGCATTAATAGAGAGACAGCATCACTGCATTAGGATCTGTGTAGAACTAACTATAATTAGTAATGGCGCTATTCTATTCTGCCAAGCAAGGAAGAAATGCCATGTTCTTTCTTTCTTTCTTGGAAGGGATTGAGTATGTATTGACAGGAAGGGATGGAACACACGGAGCTTGATAGTGCTTTTTGTACAGTGTACTGCTCTGCATGCAGTCGAACATCTATTTATCTATTTCCTGGAGGATGGCTTCTACTTCCAGCTCCCCATGTAGCAGTGTTGCACTGCCAACAACCTTGGGACATATAGCTAGAACGAGGCAAGCAATCTTTGGACGCTTTCCGTTCTACTAGGGAATTTCTATTGTAGACTAATACCAGCTGCTGGAGCTTGTATCTTCTCTCACTAAAGTGTTTTTATCCTCAACAATAACCCAAAAAACGCGTAAATAGTGCTGATTTATTCATTCATGCAAGTGTTGTAGTCAATAGACGGTTTTCCAGCTTACAAAACCCCTTCTTTCCCAGTCTGAGAGCCCTACGAGACCACATTCATTCTTTGAGAGGTTCGTCATCCTGATAACCGGATTTAGAGTAAGCCTCTGCTCGAGGGGAAGTGACTTTCGCACTTGGCCTGTCTGCGTCGAGGTTGGTAAAATCGAGAATGTGTGCTCATTCTATAAGCTGACTCCGTATCCCTAAATGGTCGGTCGATTGGATGGCTATCAAGTAGTTGCTTTGTCAGAAATTCAAGTCACCACCTCAATTTCAAAGGGCATATGCTGAATACTGAGCGTCTTCAATATCATTAATCGTGAAATATTGCAGTTAGTTGGCGGAGGCGAATTCTCTGTAGTATCTCCACTAACACGTCTTGTCCAGTCAGGATCTGCTTCAGGCAAATAATCCGAAGACGAATCCTCATCCAACGAAGACGTTTCCATTGCACTCGAATCTGGAACGTCGGACGCCGTAAGGCCAATCCTATCGACTCGACCACGTCTCGGTCGACGAGATGGAGTGTCCCGAATGGGATCGTAGTCTCCAGCAGGTGGAGCGTTCCGATCAGAGGAGTTTGGGTTTATCTTGTTCAAAAGACGTTGCAAGGTATTCAACTCGTCCGGTGACAGCAGATTGGCAAGCGGCGAAGTGTTCTGACCCGAGGCCGGAGGATCCGTGACAAGATAACCCATCAGCCACCTTGTTCCAAGTGCCAGGAATATACTCTAATAATATATGGAGTTCATGAAGAGAAATGGCCCAGAAAGCATATATTCCTTCGTGGTTGTCATAAGAAAGGAAGTGCATAAGTGGTCTGTTGTCTGTGTGAAAGAAGCCGGGATTGCATGGATTCTGTAGGAGGTAATCATATTTGCATGCGAATTTGACAATAGCCAGTAATTCCCGTTTGTTTAAAGCATATGGAAGCCGGTTTGGAGTTTCCCATCTCTTTTTCCTGCGCCAGTATCCTTAGTGCCTAGGCCCATCTTACTTGTCATAAATAGCTTCATGAAGCTTGCTCGTAGAGAGCGCTTCCCTTTTTCGGCAAGATTTTCTGAGTGCTGGTTGCATATCCTCTGCTGTACCTTATGCGCCTTGATCCGTTCGAATATCGCTTTGGCCTCTTCTGTGGCCTGCCATGTGGCTTCAGGCCCTGTAAAGTCTCTCAGTGAGACTTTCCATTCTGTCTCGGCTCTTTTAGCCATGAGGTCATGCACTTCGGCCGCTTGCGTCCTGAACTGCGCAGTGAATGATCTCTGAGGCCTGAGCCTCTTTGTGGACTCATAAATACGGTTCTAGTTCTCAGCAAGATAGTAAAACAGTATGACAGGGAAACAGTAAAAAAAAGAAAGAAAGAAAAAAAAATATATGTGCATGCATGTATTGAATGGGGTAATTTCTGCGTCTTTCATTTAGAATTATGCTCTTGAATATTCATTAATATATGACCACGTAACCCTCGACGTCTTCCCTTTTCTCGCTCATGTAAGTAGCCATAGCTGTCATAGCGCTCGCTTCTGCCTCCGCGATGGAGGTACCATGGGCCAACGGAGAAGAGGATGAGTTCTGGAAGCTAGGCGAGACCTCACAGATGCCGGAGACTGCGCTGCGGGTGTTGGGGAGGTGGAGGGAGGCTGTGCCGGGGGCCTCCTGGAGGGCTCAGGCGTTCCCGCGCTCGCTACGCTCGGCGCTTTCACCGGTGCGGCGGTGGGGGTGTTCTCTACTGTAGCTGCCTTCCTCGTGACAAATACGCGGTCAGCATTCTACTAGAATTGGTTTTTCTATTATGTGCGGGCGCATGGATCAATGCTGGGACGGTCAACGCTGTTATGCGATAAAGTGACCCTCATGAATATTCCTTTCCAGCCATGGTTCAGAGGCAGAAACGCACTAGAGTTGCCTAGATCGACGTTTCTTCCATAGAAAGGTACGCTTTTCTGCGTATGAATGTCGAGATATGTAATGTGTGAGATGAAAGGTGGGAGCCGAGGATGGGATGGCGGTCTCGTCGCGTGGAAGCTTGATTTCCAAATTAATGAAAATTCTTTGCGCCGTAGTGGTGAGGATTGGCGCTTGTTTGAGGTAATTTGGCCTTGGCTTGTAGTAGTTCACAGAGAATGGGTTCGACGAACGAGTTTTGTATTTGAAGTGTCCTTGAGGTTGCCCTCGAATGGTACCTTCATGGGTGCCCTTGGGGTCTGCATCACAAAGCGAGGCACATGATGTGTGCCAAATGTGAATTCCGAGTCATTCGTCGTCCTTGGGTATTTTTTTTTCGTTCTGTTGATTTCTTTCCTTGCCAGGCTTGCAGCGTCCATTCCGAGTCAACGAACACTTTACCAGCCACAATGACATCGCTCCGGAGGTTGACGGCGAGTGGGCGGCGTACATGTTCCATGTTCCCTGAGCGCAGGACGAATATCGATGAAAGGGTTCGTACTCCACGCGGAACTCACCAGTGTCCAGAGCAGGACCCTCTTGTAGTAGAGGTCCCGCTGTACGGTCCCAATCGTAGCACTTTGCATCAGGTCGTGCGAGAAGGCAACAAACGCCGGTTCATGGCATTGTCTGGAAGTTCGTCGACTCATTTTTCCAAGGGTTCATTTCTTGTACGATTTGTCTAGAATCCCCCTGCACTGCACCAGGAAGAAGAGCGTCCAGTCTCTGACAGACTCGATTGTGTTCGAACGCTAATGGATTGTGCCCCGTACCGCGGTGAGTGTAGCCCTTGGCTCTGCTTCTGAGTGACATCGATCTAACCCAGGATAAGTGTCATTCGTCATCAGGCGACGTCAACCGGAGCGTAGTCCGGATTGCTCCCGGGTTGATTCGTTTGGTTCACAAGCTTCGCGTGGGTCTGGGCTACAGTCACCTCTGGTGAGAGCAGGCCCTGTAGAAGGTCAATGAGTCTGCGGGTAAAGCTTGTCTGAATCACTGCACTGGCTGGCGATTCAAATGACAAGGCAACAAGGTATCCTATGGTCCCTGGACTGTGGGCTGCGGCGGTAGCATAGCAAGAATCCAGGATAACTAGTATATCTCCCTTGACAAGCGACTGCGCTTCTAAAAGTGCCTATTGAAAAGGATGGCTTCAGGGGTCGACGATCCACTGTTATTTGAATATCAGCTCCTGTAATCCCTTATAAGGAAGGGAAATACTCACAAGACACAAAGCTGCTGGCCGGCTGCCTAGGTCTGCTGGGTTGAGACAGAAGCAAAGATTTCAGTCTTGGTTAGATATTCTCTCCCAGTGCGAGGGTTGAGAACAACATCCACTGTATTAGCCTGTCCATGACCGATTAAGACAATGATGATACGGTCTCCTGCCCTGGCTCTTCTGGACACGTTCCAAATCCAGCTAACGATCTGTTCCTTGAGACCTTCTGCCCCGACAAGGCAATAGAGAGAATTCGTCGCTTCAATAGTATTATATTCTAAACTTCACGTCGCTCCCGCAGACCATCGCGTCCCAACAAAAGAGGCCCATAGGTGGACGTAACGGTATACAATTCTGTACCTGATAAGCACGTGGGATCATGACCATCGGCCATGCACTTCTTGAGTGGTGTGACCTTAACGGCGTCCTTTGTCTGGCCTATATCTGGACGGAATTTCGCTCAGCAAGGCTGCATGTAGCGGAGCAACAATCAGATCGTGCCATCGTGGGGTTGGCGCGAATATTGACACAATCCAATATCGGGCTGGACCTTTCGTCATCGGGCATGTATCCGTATATTGAAGCTTCATTCCAGTTGACCCGTCACTGTGTAGGGAAAAGATACTCCCAGTCGACGGGTGATACCGACAGTTTTAGGGAAGGCTCGCACTGACGAGGCGGAAGAAGGGATAGGCCATCGGACAATTTTTGTTTCAACATGCTCTTCGAGAGAGAAACATATATCTTCAGGAACTCCCACATAGATGAACGTCAGAGGAGGCTCATAAGGCGTAGGGTTGTCATCTTTGTCGACGAGCACTGCACGTGCGTTCCATTGTGAGAGTCGGCCATTTTTCATGCTCACATTCCTCATTGAGAATGGATAAATGTGAGCGACATTCGTAAAATCGCCCAACATGGTTACGATTCACCGTTGTTTATCTCTTTCTAGGCACTAGAATATATAAGCAAAATCTGTCATAAAGTCTGGCGGAGATGAACCTGCCAGATCTCGTTCCTCCTTTGAACACCGCATCATCAAGTCTGAAGTGGGGAGTGTTGCGAAGAGCTTGAATTTCCCGAAGAACCAGGCTCTTCTTGAAGAGATGCAACTCGTCTGTGCGTTGGTGTCACTGGAGGTAGGGTTGCCGCGACCTGGAGGACTTTTCAGGCGATTGATGTCGAGGGGTAAGATTTTGCCTGAGTCGGAGGTTGCTACGCCCGTACGCTTCCATACTGGCACATGCTGCTTGGTCCGCTCGTTACGATCTTGTCTGCCACGCGCTTCATCATGCCATCTCTTGCACCGCGGAGCATTGATGGTGGTTGTGCTTCCGTCCTCCTCCGAGGGTTTTTCAGCCTCCGTATAGGCCGCTTGGCGGCGGCGATTTCATGCTCTCTCCTACAGCTGTGAGAGATGTTCTGCTGTTCAAAACTATATGGCATGTGACACTATGCTCCATGAAGAAAAAATCAATTCACCATTGTCGTAGTGAATGTATTGAAGAGATGTCGATAGTGTTGCGAAGCTTTGTATGCGTCGCTCTCGGGACACAGGTACGGTTTGGAAAGATCAACGTATCCGTTCCTATGAGGATGGTCAGCGACGGCAAAGCCAGGCAACTGGTGTGAGTCCACAGAGGAGATTGCGTTGCATACGTGCGAGATAAATTGCCTAAAAACATCTCGGGAACTCACCTGGCACCAGAAGGAACATTGGACTTGACCCGCTTGCTGTTCGACGATATTGTTGCGTAGACCCGTACATCAGAGTAGACACCTGGTGCATCGTGCACGTTTTTGGGCCTCTTACTACCCCTAGTCTCTTCCGCGAGATCGTCTTCGGTGACCTGTCGTTGTCGATCCAGGATAATTTCAAGATCCCAATATAGATGGGATTATTAATTTGGAATAGGTGACCAGTGAGTCTGGCAGACACTGTTGATATACCTAGTTCTGAAACACAGGGACGCTTCAGAGACATCGCCCCTAACGATTTCCAGTCAGGAACATCCGACAAAATGAAGGCAGATGCTGCCTCCATAGCAGAACATACCGTTCATTTTGATATTTTTGCCCAGAGAGTTTTGGACCATTTGCTCGCGAATTTGGTGACGAGGCACTGCCGCTCTATATGATTGAGCTCGGCATGAAAGACGTGGGCGTCGATTCCGCAGAGTCGCAGAGCCGCAGGGATAAGGAATTGCTGTATCAGGTGCGTGCACCAAATTAGGCCTTTTATCGCGTAAATGGGCTTCGCACATATTTATACGACCGAGTTAAAGGCGAAGGTTAGCCTTATCCTCGCGATGCCACCGCAGGAGGTATTGCTCCTGGGGAGTTTTTGAGAATGTCCCAAGTGTATAATTCCGCAGTGACATTCATTTCTGTGGACAGAAATTAGTCTTGCCGGAAATTACCATTCTGTCTCACGATATCTCCTGGTCCAATACTGATGTCAACGGTGGCAAACTGGAAACAGTTGAGTGTGCCGATGATCCGCTCACAAACATGTCTCCAGTCTTTAGTCGACCGCTTTGCATCTGTCAGGATGACAGTTGGAAGGTTCTCCTTTGGATCTTAATCCTTTCCCAAAGGGAAGCACTCGACAAATTTACTTCAGTTAGATTGACCTCCGATAGAATGTGGTCAAGGACATTCTCCCAGATGGGATGGATTAAATGCGTCGGGAGGACCGGAGAGTATCGGAGTGGTTCGAAAGCTCGCAATAACCATGAGTACAGAGACGATCGTCCGTTTGGGATAGAGGTATCATAATTAAAAGCAATATAGGTAATATTGTATACAATCTTGAGACGGTAGAAGATGGGTGTATGCGGTGGGATAATTAAATATATAATTCTTCTTGAAACTTGTCTGGCAGAGGGAAAGTAAAGAACGATGCAAGAGGGCAGCGGAGAACTAAAGAATATTTATGCTTGGGATCTGGCTGGCCAACTAAGCGAACTGTCTTAGTGAAGGATATCCATATTGACCACAGAATTTACTGGAGTGAATACTGCTGGCGATTGTGACCGGTAACCACTGCCTTGTTTCTCCTGGCATCCAATTAAGCGGCAAATACCGAGTGATGTCTTTGTCTCATACAGTCTCCTTCCTTCTCTGTAGACGGATATTACCAGGCTACCTGAGTACTCTTCACTGATGTTTCGCAATTACAGTTAAAACCATCTGGAACCTATATGCATCATTCCATCTAGTCTCAAGTCTTTGTAACATGGCAAATGCATCCAATTCTGTTTGAGTTATTCAAAACGAAAGATGGCTAGACCAAAGAGCAGAAGTTTAAAAATATTCCCTTACTTGCTGTAGGCCGGCGTAAAGTAATACAATGGGAGAATCGTGGTAGGCAATGCTACATAGAGGAATATATTCACTGTGTAAGGTAGAGTGAGTAGTCACTTTGTCCATTCACTTACAAGAGGAACTGAAACAGTCATTCCTTTCTGTCGCCCTCATTGAGCAGGCATACTAGAGGCTCAAGCATAAATTGCTGCTTGCCTCTACCCATCTCCCCGGCTGACTTCTATATTCGGAACGCCTATTCAGTTCATATAACATCCCTGGAATATATAGCACTTTTCTGTCTTATATACAAGCAAGAGGAATTCTTAGACGAAGTCGAGACTCTTGAGAAGTTCCAACGGAAAAGGTACAAACCAAGCTTGATTTACCAGTCACGTAGTTTTCTTGTAGCTGTTTTATGTACTAACTGTTCGAACGTGGTATACAGGTTATGAGGAACGTGACTTCCAGCTTTTCCTGCTTCTTGAGGGCACCTTCCCTTGCCGCTAGTTTGCCGTCGCTGCCTGATGTCGAAAAGATGAATGTCCAAGTCACCACGCCTGTTTTCAACATCAGCGCCTCATCGTCGGACCACCACGAATATATCCACGAATGTCTCATGTGAGTTAGTACAGATACGACTCAATACATGCATATAGGAACGATGATTAATGTGCCAGGGTTAGGGCATCATCGAGCTCTAATGAAGAGCAGTCTTTAAACCTTGTTGTCTGTGGTGCCAATGACCACAAGCACGGTTTCGTCTTTTCGAATTTTATGAGCATTTGCGTGGCCCTGAGAGAGCATAGCGTTGGAGGAAGATTCTACTCATTTGGCTCAGGGATGAGAATAATCCCCCAAACGATTGTCATCAAATTCGGCAAATTCGGCCCTGACAACTCGAAATCATTCTACACATATTGTCAGCTCTATGACACCACGCATGACCGGCGGAAACTACCTACGCTCCTTTCTTTGCCGATTTTGTCGAAAATCCGAGTTTCGAATCCGGAAACGACAAACTGAAGAAAATGATACTCGAGGCCCCAGATGACGAATCAAGGACACTGTGGTCCAACGGAATGGGGCTCTGTACCTCGTGGTGCATCCTCTTGTCAAACGAAGTAAACTCGAGGCCAGACAAGGTCAATTTTGGAGACCAACGGCCGCATAGGGCCGCATACGGTAACGATGGGGTTGTAATAGAGGCACATTGAACAGGCACTGTCCAGAAAAAGTGGTCAATGCTCTGGGTTAAGGTCAGGGATCCAGCTGCTATGGATGTGAGAGATAATTGTGCAGCTACCTTCCTACGATTGTTAGTGATGGCACTGATGCGATAACATGAAAAGGACTATGAAATGAGTATAAAGGCTAGCAACCCGTTCATGACCCGATGTTCCTTGGTCTTTTTTTTGGTGCAATGCCAAGCAGCAAGCGAGGAAACCCAAGTCTCTAGTTGGGAAAGTGGTGCCAACCAGTTGCGTGATTATCTGTGTGACTATTATGGGAAACGGCCCCGGAATCAAAGGAGTAATGTGATGTGGTTTGTGCGCTTGCCATTGGACGCTACCTTGATTTTACAAGTACGACGATCAAATGGGAAACATTCAGCTCTAGAGACCAACCCGGGCGTCTCGCGTTTCGGATGTTTTCTTATGGCTTTTTCAAATGGAATATCCTTACTCCACTTCTCATTATACGGGCATGGATCGAGAACAACACATTTTATTGCGGCAGGCAATGACGTGGTACGACGTTGTTGCCTTCGCCGGTAGCACCTTTGTCGATGGAGCGTATGGATGATCCATCTGATCGATGACTGTGTGGCGATTCAGAAGGTCCTCAATTATATCCATGGTCCCGACAACCGAGATACTAGTCCCTTGATGCGAGAAAGCGCTCGAGATAAAGAAACTGCACGTTGAAAAAGAGGAGAGACTGATTTTCAATTAAGTATTGAGTCTTTGTTCATCTACAAGAGGAACCTGCTCGCTTGCCATAGTGTATATATGGACAAAACTATATGGACAAGACAGGAACAATCAGAATGACAGAAGTGCTGGGACACGATATAAACGCATTGACATATCAATGATCTTTTTTAATGTCTTGTTAAGTAAATAGATTGGTCTCTGGTTAGACGAGGTATAATCTAATGGTAATGAAACGAGACATGGCTCCAATGATCCAGATACCTACAGCCCCTTACTGTAGAATATTTCTGCTCGTACCAGTGCTTCAACAACATATCCATAATGGGTGAGCGATTATCAAAAGACGGGCGATCCGTGCTTGTCGCATGATGACTGTTTTTCTACCTCATGAGAAGAGGTAGCTAGTAATCTACAATTCCATGCAAAGGGAAGACTTCTTCCTCGATCTCGACCAAGCAGACTTCGTCGAAAAGTCATTCGATATCTACTGGAGCATCTCTTCAATGCCTATCTTCTCTGCAAAAGGATGGTAAGGAAGTGCACACTTCCGTCAGAAGAAAGCCGTCTGGCTATGCTCCTCGATCGAAAGTCCTGATTTTCCAGATGTAATGACTAACACTCAAGCAGTTACTCAAGCAGTCTTTCCATCACACAGTTGAGGTCTGCTCGACGTGACATATCCACGTTCCGCTATTTTCGAGCAATGTTAGTAAAGAGAGCAATTTCCTATTACGGAAACTCCGGACTTTAGATAATTTCCGGATACGGAAAGTCCAAGGAATTCTAAGCGGCTATTATATGCACGGGTTTGTTAGCCTGTACGAGCCTGGTAAGAAATTAATATCTTTCTAAATTGTCATTCCGTCGCTTGAGCAGATAATTACGTGGTGTGTTATTAAAAGAATGATAAATCGATAACTCTTCTGCGTCGACCATACACGATGACTCCCTGTCTACACGGTGAATACGATGGAAACTGACTCCCTTCCCCGATACTGCTTATACCATTCTTTCCGCTTCTACGATGATACATCCATATGAATCACCGAGGTATGACTCGTCCATCCTGGACACATATAAGCGGCAGTCTTATGTGTTTTAACGGGATTTTAATGGACCATTCCCATTGTACTTCAACTACTGCATTCTTGCTGCTATCGATTAGCATTTGCATTATCATATTACTCAGCTACTACTTTCTTACTACTTTCTAAGTTTATTGGGCCTAGAGGTGAGGTTTGTCTGTTCAATAGAGATCGATCGAATTAGAGTATTCATACATTAAAGGCACGAAATGTCTCTGTCTGCCGGTTGAGAGTCTGTCTATCTCTCACCACTATATTATGGCTTTCCCACTTGAAGACCCGGAGTGGCAAGGCCTCACGTCAAAAGGAAAGGTTAGTCTCTTTGCCTGGTTTTCCCACCCTCTATTTCCCCCCCGCCCACCCTCCTCTTTTTTTTTGGTTTGTTTTGGTTTCCAACGCATGGATTCAGTTTCTCTAACAACTAATATTACAACCCATTAGGCCGAACTCGCCGTTGAAATATTCAACGACCTCGAGAATGTGGTGGATTGGATAGAGACACTCTCGCAGTTATGCACGATCCTCTACAGCCAAGTGAAAAGACACGAACCAGCTCGGCTGTTACACGGGGAGCTAGAGACAGCGCTTAGAGATGAAACCCGCAAGGCCAAAAGTTTCCTGATGCACTTGCATGATGTACAGGGCATCATGGCGAACGATCAATATGCGAAGTTACGCTTTGCAAATCTTATAGGCGATCGGAGATCCAAAGCGCTTCATACGGCTTGTCTGAACCATGGGATACATGTCAGTAATAGCGGTTAGCTGGGTGGTGAGTTGTGAGGGAGCCAGCTAGCTAGTTCCTGTACAATCATTCTCTCTTTCTACCTCTATTTCTTATTTTTCCCCCCTTTTGGTATTTAAGCTACTTGTATAAGTTTATTTCATTTGATTTTTGTCTTTCTATCCACCTTTGCGATTCGAGTGGCGACTAGTATGTACGAAAGTTAATTGCATGTGTATGAAGACTTTTTCAAGCATTAATCTGTTCCTAAGTCGCTATACCGTGGTCTATGTAACTTATCCCATATAACATACTAAGTACTAGCTATATACTCTTTCCATCCTGCTGACTTACAATTACATTGTAGGGAAGACTAGAACAAGGGAATGACTCTTCTTTCTCATAAGCAATTTGACTAATCTATGATGTGTACCGATGTATCTTCATGATGCGTTCCTTGAATCATACCGAGGGCGTTTGACAAACAGCCCTGACACATATAAAAAGCGCACAAACCTGGTCCAGCTGTTTTGTCGGCGATCTCTGTGTCTGCTCACCACCCGTCGTTGGATGCGGAAGACCTCAGAGCTCTGGCACAAAGAGACAAGATCTATTTTTGACCTCTTTGTATGCCTACAGGCATAAATATGGGCTCAAATCCCCCAGGAGACTTTCTTCCTAGATTATTCCTGTTTACTAGAGTGCTAGTATTAATACAGACTGGATCTTTGCCTTATGGCTGACTGCCTGTTTCGCCGACATTTTTGATCTTCCATTCTTACCTATATCCGCACCTGCATGTCCACTGCTATTATCCCTTCTGCATCAGCTAAATTCGATCTTCAATGTAAGTCTATTTCCCGTGGTTGAGGTTTCTCTCCGGCAGAACAAGCTCTAACGAACTTAATAGTAGCAACAACTACAAATACAAACACAAAGACAAGGGCATTCCTGTTATCTACTGTCAGTCTGTCATCATGTCAGCGCCTGAAAAAAAAAACGTCACCTCGGCTGAGAAAGGCAGTCAGCTTCCAAAGGACGGTGTTAGTTGATGTCTTGTCACTGTTCCAGATCATCTCTCTCCAATCTTCCCTTCCTCGCCATTGTTTCTCTCTACTGTTTGGAACCATGCGCTGATCAATTAAAAATGAAAAAGGACAAAGAAGTCATCCAGGTGGATAAAGACCAACAAGAGGCAGATGTACTCGAGCAGCTGTTAAGGAAAATACGGCGGGACGTTCAGCAAGCTGAATTTCTGTCCGCCCTAGGTCTCAAGGACATGTCTGATGCCCTGACGAGAAAGATCGGTGATAACATAGAATATATCAAAAAGAAGGAACCGGGGCTAGTGGCTCGAGGGGTCCTCCCACCAGCCGAGGAGGTTGAGGCTGAGTACCAACTTCAACGCAGCCAAAAGAAGCTCCGTGAGAGTGAGAGTGGTAATGTTAGCGGCAGCGGTCGCTGAGCTGTGTGATGGCTAGCTAGACTTTACACACATTTTCCTTCTCTCTCTCCTTTTTTATTTAATTGCTTTGTTGCAGCTATTTGTCTGAGTATATTTGATTTGACTTCGTGACTTTTTTCTTTGTCTGTCTATCTGTATGAGTCTACGAGTTTAGTTAGCAACCGGCATGTATATACTTTACATAACTGTATGAGTGAGAAGGCGTTGTACGAGGTACAAAGTGATAATCTATTTCTACAGGATTTATTTGAGCTTCGTAGTATATACACAGTTCCTAGCAAGCTGGCTATGATTACGGTTAATAAGGGTTGAATAGAGTAAGGTATTATCGTTGCTGAGAGATGGGCTTCGATTCGATCTGGGCATTTATTACCTATGTACTGTCTTGGCTAGAGTGTTAATAGTAATGGTAATGATCTCTCTGTTGTTCATTTTGTTTCTACCCGATTTCAGTCCAACTATGCTTGCAACTACCTCGCGTGTCGTCATATCATGTCCTGTCATATCCCAGTGTAGACCATGCCATCTCGATAAATGACCTTTTACCCCTGTCTGCCACCCTTTTAATTGATCTTGCTCTTTCATTGCCAACAGATAGCGCAATTCACAAGGCTTGTATCACTCGACGATCCACACAGTCGCAGACCCATTAACCGTCTGTCAGGCTACCTTTATGCAGTGTCGTCGTAGAGATCGACATTGTCGTATTGTCCGCGGCTGTGGATGTTTCCAAAGCATGGCTCTCCGATGTCGTCAATGTCCGCGTCCACATCAAAGTTGTTCGCCGAGCTTGGTCCAGCCACCGGTCCATCGACGTAGCTGTTCGTCTGGCTGTCCACGTACGGCTGCTGCTTCCTGCAGATGCCTGTGCACAAAGTAGTCTTAACGTCAGCTTTCTTCTCGGCGCTATCCTCCCACGCTTTAATGCTATGCAGGACCTGGCTTTCCTCGGCGGTTTCGTCTTCGACTTTGATGGTGCTCCTGCTAATGCTGGCGCCGGTGTTGGTTCTGGTGCCGGTGCCGTTGCTCTCCGAATCTGTATCTACAGCAATGGCGTCGAGCATGGTCTGGCCGAGAGTGCGGCCGCCAATCTTGGTGGGAGTGCCCAGCAGCTTTGCATCAAGTTTAGCAGTCGACCGTCCACTGCTGCCAGAAGACTTGGTGACTCCGTTTCGAGGTCCGCGAGCGCGAGGTGTGCGTGGAGTGGAAGGACCGCTGGCACCGTTGCGGCCACGAGGGGGGACCGTCACGCCATTCTTGCTCGCCTCGGCACGCAGCTCATCAGCGATTTTCCGGAACTTGCGGAAACGGCTTTCAACAGCATCGTAAGTCGCACTGCGGCCGTACATAGCTGCTATGGCGTTGTAATCCAGCTGGAGAATAGTCAGTATCTGACTTATGAATAGTAAAGTCATGATTAGATGCTCTTACCCTGTGCTCTGGATGAGCGGCGATCAATGCTCCAATGAGCCGATCAGTAGCGTCGCTCACTTTCCAGTTGACCATGATGAAGTATTTGTTAAGTTCCGGTTATCAGGATTGATAGATGAGAGGAATGGCGACGATTGGGAGAGCTGATGAATCGAGATGAAGAGGAGAGTTGGGATTTCAACTGCATTCGAGTGGTAGTCACCAAGTCATGCCACTTTCCTGGTAGAGTCGAGGAAGAGGAAGTGTACTTGGAGCAAGACAGGGAAGGGTTGGCTGTACCAAGAGTCACTCAGTGTGAGGGGAGAAAGTTGATAAGACAGTGATAGTCTCCAGTCACTGACTCACTTTGATTCTGCCAGACTCAGCTGGAAAATAGCCAAGTGAAGACAGAAGTTGCATTCATTAGAGATTGTGGGATGACAAGCTGCATCAGAGAGGCATCGAGGAAAGAAAAGAAGGGTGACAGTCCTGGTGATGTAGTAGATGGCAGGGCTTTTGTGACTCATCTGAGCAACTGAGAGAAGTGAAGAACTGCTTGATAACAAACTAGCAGGCTGCCTGTCAAGTAGCAACCACTGGATTTCTATGCAGGAGCTGTGGTTGGCTGGCAGCATCACTTGACCTGTTTATTTTTTTTCTCTTTTTCTCTCTTCACTCTTGACAAACTCTCTCATCATTGCACTCTTCCATTTTGTCATGTCTCTGCTTCAACACTCTCAAGTTCTCTCAATCTACACACCTCATCCCACAATTGCGTCTGAACTGTCTCTTTGCCAAAGTATCGTCTCTAGATAACTGTCTCTCTCAAGTCGCTATCACTCAAGCCAACATCTGTTTACTGTCACCCAACAGTCCTACGCCTCCATCATGCCGGTTAAGTGGACAAGCGAGAACGACCACATTGTATGAACTGCCATGCTTACTCTCTGAACATTTCTACCAACTGAGCTCTGCTAACATATGTATCATTCAGCTGCTCCTGAAAATACTCGAGACACACAATATCACGGTCAACGCTGCTAAAATAGCTGCTGCCTGGCGTAAGTCACTCTATACATGTACAGTACATTCATGGTACCGAGAATACTGGCTAACTCTCGCAGCCGGTGACGCCGACTCCAAGCCCACTCCGCGGGCAATCAGCGAACGTCTGTTCAAATTGCGCCATCTTAACGGCAGCACGAGTGGAAAGCTCACCGTCAGCAGCGTCGGCACTTCTTCTTCTGCTCCATCCACACCGCGCAAGCCTCGTACACCCGCGCAGGCCGAGTCGAACGGATCGCGCAAGCGGAAGCGTGTGTCGGATGAAGACACAATCGAGCCCGATCCTGACGCAGAAGACATTTCTGCTGAAGCTGCAGCGCCAGTCAAAAAGTCTTCCAGCCCTGCGAAGAGTGTTCAAGGCGTCAAGAAGGAATTCGACGAGATCCCTCTCGCAGACCTTGACATGATCGAACAGGAATCTCCGTCAAAGCGTGTCCGGAAGCAGCCCCCACGACTGAACATGGTCGTCTATCAAGACGAGAGTGACGAGGGCAATCTGAACAGCTCTGGAACAGAGTTCGTGCCAGAAGAGGGAGCCAGTCCTGTCGGTCAGGAGAACAAGATCAAGGCGGAAGATGACGACTGGGCGTAGCAAAGACGAAACAATGAAGCGTTTGATGGATATGGAATCAAGACATGAATGTAAAGACACTAGTACTTACCTGAGCATGTTTAACAGGGAGATATGAATGGGTCGTCTAGGATAGCAGCATACAGACATGACCAGATCGATAAAATCAGAATAGCAGAATATTATCAATGTTTGATTTCATTCCATTCCATTTGATAAGACGTGATAACTCTCTCTGTTTGTAAACACAGAGCCCATTGCTAAACAAGTATCCACCCCCGTTGTGCATTGCACGTGCTATCACCATAACTAGCGAACACTCTCCTTCCACCGAAAACGAAAACCACGCTAAACGACCCTACCACCGAACTAGACCCTCGAAAAACAGACCCGAACGAGTTGAATCAAGGAAAGAAGAAATAGGGACAAAAAAAAGGTGTCGATTGACGGTGATATCGATCGCGATCGATCGTGAGCGTGTCGGTTTACTCTTCCTCCACTTCCTCGACCGGCTCGAGCTTGATTTTTTTGGCCGCTGGCGAGGGAGCTGGGGTAGAAGCTGATGACGACGGGGCGCTCTCAGAGGAGGTATCTGCCGCGGGAGCCTCACTCTGCTGCTCTGCGTTGCAGTTGGTGTTCTCGTTCGTGTTCTTCTTGTTGACACTCTCGCGCTTGCGCTTGCGGGGGGTGGCTTCAGGCGTCTCTGGGATTGGAGCAGGTGCTGGGGTCGAGGCGGGGGCATTGCCCGAGTTGTGATCCATCTGAGATATAAAGATCTCAGACTGGGCTTTCGCTCTGAGCGTCCGAAATCGATGTTCCACAGCAGACTCTGTATACCCTATCGGATAGGGATGGATGGGTTAGCATGGACTGTGCTCTCGACGGGCCTCGTGGATCGCCGTGGATGGATGGATGGATGGATGCACTTACCAGATCCCATGAACCTGGCGATCGCAGCATAGTTGACCCGCGGAGTCTGATGATATGCGAGAAAAGCCCGGAAGAGCTGTCATTTCATGGGTTAGCGAATTCCTTGTTTTGTTCTGTCGGATTTGCATCCGAGGCGGGCATCGGATTCAGACATATGGAACGATAAAAATGGGAATGTGCTCTGGAAATGCAAGATTTCCATCTGGGGAGGGAATGCAACTGCGATCTGCAGGGGGGAAGCAATAATGAAGGGGATGAACTGAGATCATCTGCTTGCACTGAGAAATGGAAATTCTGCATCGCAGGCGGGCACCGGACCCCGATGAGAGAATACATGCTGCTTATCTCGGATCGACACATCTCAATCTGGAGAGGATGTCGATGCGGATGAGCAAAAGAAAAAAAAAAAGGGACGAAACCAAACGACATGAAGACATATGTGTCTCTCCAAACTCGAATTTATATCTGGAAAGAAATTCCGCTCGACGAGGGCAAAACGAAAAAAAAAGATGTCCTTATGGAAAGCAAGACATCTGCATCGCAGGAGTGTCTTTGACTGAGATGTACAGATGACAGAATGGGGGAAAGAAAATCAAATGAGTGAAAAACCATGAAAGAGGAAAAAAAGGATCTATCTGGACCTCCATATCCAGGAGAACAAGACATGGGCGGAGGACAGGAGCAAAACAAATAAATGAATACATAAGACACAGACACAGAGGACATTATTTGTGGTCTTCATCAGAGATGTTGCCCAACAGAAGCACAATAATGGGAATGGAAAACAGAAAGCCATAAAGAAAGGACATCACATCCGATCAGCAAACTCCGAATACAATATCACGGATACAAATCAGGACAGACGCTTCAACAAAATCTGCATCTGAAGGACACCCCCATCTCAGATGTGCAGAAAGATGAATGAATCAGGACAAATGATGCTGAGTACATCTCCATCGCAGGCCCGCCCCAGACTAAGATCAGGAAACCAGCGGATGAATCCATCTAGCGGCTACCCTGATCTTGTGCATCGGAGGCCCGCCGCAGACTCAGAAGTGGTGATGTTCAGGATGCAGGTGATGCATGCAGACAGCCAACCAGCCAAACAGAGAGACAGCGAAACCAACTTACCTTAGCATCATGCTTGTTAGACCATTTTCTACCCATTTTGAAGGCTCTTTTGATCGAAAAAAAGGTCTTGAGATGGGACTTGAAGATGATCTAACTTGCAGCGTGAGTATGTGAGGAGCGTTGGTGAGAGAGAGGAGGAGCAGGAGGAGAGAGAAAAACTTTCGCACCCCTTAGATATTTCTCTCTAGCCATGCCAGTGCCTGCAATTCACTGTATGGGCTCGGCGGCGACGACTAAGCGGTGCAGTAAACGATGCGATGCATATACAGCGACAGGAAGGGCTGAGCTAGGAGCGTGTGAAGCGTCTGGATGATCTGGTGCTAGGTACGCGGTCTATCATGTCTATCAGAGACATACTACTCTTCCAACGGTATATGCTACAAGAAAGACATAGCCATACTGCAGCAAAACAAGCCAAGCAGGCAAAGCAAGTCAAGCCGGCAGGGCAAGGAATGCCAGCAATACGCTTCTTCCGCAAGACGAACCGGAAACGACACCGATTCCAGCCAAAGAAGTCCGAAGACGACGATATCATGTCCACGAAAACCCAGGACTGGATTATGTCCGTTATCTGGTTCTGCTGTGTCTTCTACCTGCTCTACGCCTTTCTGCGGGTACTGTCCGATGCTTGTGAGGTTGACATGGACTAGGGGAGTTGGACTGGTTCTTGGACTAGACTTGGAACTGCATCTTCGTCTGGACCAGTTGGACCTCTACAGAAGGGAGAAATGGAGGAAAATCACTCTTTCACGCGGTGCACATCTTGGAAGCTTGGTGAGATAGGTGGATATCATACCGAAGGTACGGTCCCTTTTCCTTCTGTTGAAATTCCCCTTTGATATTCTATAATATCGACATCACGAGTGGACGAAGGCAGCTGCAAACTGACTGAATGGATGGCTGACTGCTTACTTCGCATGAAGGATCCGATCAGATAGGTTTGTTTTGACAGGAAGAATAAGCATGGCATACGAAAGACGAACGGGAATGGGTCCATCATTTCTATCTGCGTTCAGTCCTTGAATATCCCTGGCGAATGCATTGAAAAATACGGTATGCTATGACATTGTTTCTACCATCCCTACCATTCGATACAATACAGATATCTTATACAGTGCCATGCTACAGTATCGATACCAGACTAATCATTATTAGAACATAGGTCACTACGCCCTCTCGATTGGACATATCCCGAGCCTTGGAGACCGTCTATTATTCATTCTTCCTTTTCTGTGATTTGTTTCGTTTCGGACGTCGATATCTAGCAGGCAGTGGTCAAGATAATACTTCTTAAAATCAGAGTGGGTTAGATTTGGTCAGATTGAAAAATTTGATTGGATTGCATTAGATTGCATGATAAGCCACGATACGGCGGGAAATATGGAATAGATCAGAGGACAGATATACAGAAGGGAATTTAGTATTATCTATTGCTCACCGTTCTGAATAGTTCAATCTATCAGAATTTTCACTCTTGATTGCTTTAGTTTGTATTGGAATAATCGACGGATTAAGTGATCGTCTCTATTTTATTTACTTTCTAGGGACATACAACTGTGTGGTAGTCTAATTCTGATTGAATACCGACTACGTAGATTATGTAGGCACACACTCCTCTGGGGAGATATACATCTCTATCTATCTATGCAGAGTTTCCATTCTGCTGTGGCAGCTACAGCGACTGCAGATGGGCAGGATGCAGTAGTAGGATGCTGGCAGAATCAACAAGAGCAGTCGATTACTCCGTCCTTTGTCAGAATGGACAAGAGCGGATGGCATACAATGGATGGAAAAGACGCGATTGATATCTACCGACCTCCTTAACTACCGTATCTTTTGACAGAACAGTCTACGGTGGCTGAGGAAGTATCCTGATTATTGATCGATCGATTCATTCAATTCAACTAAACTAGACTAGAATAACTAAACCCCATACTCATTCCCTTTCTTTTATTTTTTTATTTTTTATTTTTTTATGATTTTGGCCTTTTTATCGAGTTACATCCATTCAAAACAAAACCAAGCAACCAAAGCAACGAAACCAAAGCAAAGAAGCAAATCGAGTCGGCAACAAGGCACGACTGTCACGTTCAAACGAATAGTGATAGATCAATTGATGAGAGTCGAGAGTTACCAGAATTGTGGAGTCGGTTGATTCGACTGCATTGCGTCAGAGATGAAGGATCGATTGATCGTGATGGTGTACAGAAAGCGGTGCGGGATCGCTCTGTTGGGCAAGTAGTTAGGGTTAGCGACGGCAGGTGACATGTGCATGCATGGATCGAGTACATGTATCCAACAGAGTACAGTACAGCGAATGCAATACAGTCGTGTTCACATCATGCATAAGAAAGAAGCAGGTAGGAAAAGAGTAGCTTACCGATCATCATCAAGTCCGTGCCAGCCAGTCGATAGCGGAATGCGCCTACTCGGTCTTGACTTTCTCGCCGGCCGGAGCAGCGTCGTCATCCGCGTTCGCACTCTCGTTGCCATTTTGAGGCTCCTCCTCGGAGGACTCGTGGACATACTCAGAGCTCAGCTCAGAAGCAAGTCCAGACGAGACAGCTGGCTTGGCGGCGCTCTTACGACGCTTGGTCGGAGTCGCCTGTTCGTCGGTAGTCGATACATTTGCGCCTTTGCGTTTACGAGAGGTGGACTTGCTGGGAGTTGGAGTAGTCTGGGTGTTAGCAGTCGTCGTGCGCTTGGAGGGGGTCTTGGGCGCCGCTGGGGTAGAAGGAGCAGAGGCGTCGCCGAGGTTCATCGGCGCGATCTCTTTCTTCAGTTTCGCGAAATGCTGGCTGTATTTATATTAGCATGATTCGTCAGATTTATTGAAGTGTAAGAAACAGAAAGAAAAATGATCAAATGTCTGTCTCACCGACAGGCATTCCAGCTGAAGCCAGCATTCATCTTCTCCGCAATCAGGTCCCATTCCTGGCGGGTGACGTGGATCTGCTTGACCTCGACCAGAGTAGCGAGGAGCAGACGCTCGTACTCCTTGTTCCACTCGGGCATGATGACACGGGCAAAGACAGGACGAGATGAGAGGACAGAAGTAATACAGGAGTAACGTGATGATAATGTGAAGGAGAGCGATAGCAGGATGGATGGTGGTCAAGACGATGAGTGCAGATGGAGACAGCACGTGATGGAGAAGAGGAAGAGGGAGAAGAAAGTTGTGCAGCGTGTAATAGCCCAGCGTTTATGTTTCTGCTGCTGCTGCACGTAAACGTCCCGGCAACCATCGCCAGGGCACAGCCAGACAGGTGTCTCATCTTGCAGGCACAGATAGGAGGGAAATATGTAGAAAAAGGCTACTTACCGACACGCCTCCCCGGTGTATCCCACTCCCATTCTGTTCGCCAGAATATTCCAATCCCTTCCAGAAGGAGTTGCACCGAGGTTGTAGTTAACCACCAGCAGAAGCAGGAGCTTCCGCTCAGCCGGAGCCTCCCACGCAGGCATCTTAATTCTGTGGATATTCTGGAGACTGAAAGGATGATCGAAGAAGATGTATGATCAGATGCAATCGAGATAAGAGTATGCTTGACGCGGTGTCTCGGTTGGTGGTAGAGAGAAGAGAAGACTAAGATGGTGAGAGGATGTGAGAGGAGATATATAGGGGAAAAAGAGGTGGCTGGTGAACGGTAGATCCGCTCAAGGCAACGATTACATTCACACGTCTGGACACTTAGGGCTTCTCGGCGTGTGCAGGGAATGGAGGTCCTGATGCGATTAACTGCCTGCCGGGTCCCGGAGTGTGCGTGGGGGAAGATACGAGACATGACGCTCTATACAGGAAGGGAGAAGAAGCTTTTCGGGCCCTAAATTAATCAGGAGAGTGAAGTTTATAGCATATGGCAGAGATGTAGTGCTAATCTGAATCTAGGGGCCGCCTCCGTATGCGATCCGATGAATGCATTTCTATACCACAGGACAGAGATGCAGTAGGGATCTGAATTCAGGGACCCCCGCCGTAGCACATTTGATGAAGGGATTACATGAAACAGGCGGAGAGATCTGAATCTGGAGCCCGCCTTGAGATCTGATCTGCTGAAAGCAGTGCATGAATCAATAGTAGAGAAAAAGAGGGTAATCTTAATTTAGCGACCGCCTCCGTATCACATCTCATGAAAGCATGAAATCGATAGTGCAGGACAAAAGGGCGTGGGAATCTGAAGTTATGGACCTCCTCGATGCAGTACCTAGTCACAGCGGCATCGAAAATACGAGATGGATGGCAGATGTATTAAGAATCGGAATATAGGATCACCTCCGTGTCATATCTCAGGGCCAGCACTGCGTAAAGAGATACAAAATTTAGATGTAGTATGAGTCTGGATTCGGCATACGTCCCAGTATCACATCTAATGATCACCATTGGATGAAAAAATATCCAGAACAGAGGACAGAGACGCGGTAAGAGAAACTGAATATGGAGCCTCTCCCATCCAGCACTACTGACGATGTCACCCCCAGAAAGCGCAAGCACGTCGTTATGAAGCAGGCGAGCAACCAGCATTTCTGGGTGGCAGATTAAACAAAAGCGATCCATCCCGAAAACCCGGTTGTAGAGTATACGCTTGTTGACGCAAGGAGCGGCTATGTCCGGACTCGATTAATCTGGCTTGCGGAAACGATGCACGTAAAAAATTGTTTAGAATATGGCGATACGAGCGTATATCTCTACGTGTGACATAGTGGAATACGAACACAGTTCACCCAAGGGCATGAAACGTTAAGGGAAGCAGCAGCGCTGCTAAGAATGCGAACGCCATCGAGATTCAGTGCAGCACTTTGATTCTCTACGCTGGCCGAAGGGAACAACGAATCAGCCGAAAATGTCTGCAGAATATTAAGAAGCAATACGTGGCCAAGTAGAAGGACAGCAGCCATACCCCTTCTCGCTGATAAAGATGATCACATCCAGCTGGTAGCAACTAATAACCGGAGGAGAGGACAGGAGACGAAGAGGAATCTGAATATGACGAGTGCTGGGGTATCACATCTGAGGAATAGTCTGACGAAAGTATTAAATTAGGTAGAAATTGCAGTGGATATATAAATTCAAATTCCACCTCCGGATCATATCTACGGCTAGCGCGGCATGAAACTCTACAGACAATATAACAGATAGGATAGGATGAATTCCGAGGAATGCTCCATCTCGGATCCTATTGGTATAGGATTTTAAAACATACATATAAACAAGAATGTGGCTTTTGGGACGTCCGTGTATCATACATCCTTAATGGCAGGTATTGCAGTATCATATCTGATGCCGTTACTGCAAACAGTCAGTCAACGATGCTTGTTCCATGACATATTAAACCAAAGTTCATTCTCCATACTAACCTATAGAGCCATCAGCACTGTCAATGCCGCTCCCGATGCGAAACCTCCCGGTAGGAATTTCCCCGATTATAGCGCCGACGGTCTCGATAATGCTGCTTAGCTACTCCATGGTAGCCTGGTTCCCTTATCTCACGATTCCGTCGCGGATTCGACCCTCTCTGGACCCGATTAGGGGATGATATCTGGGCTGGCCTTGCATTGCGACGCTCGCGCGGGTAATCCTGTCTTTGGGACGTGGTGATATGGCTGCTGACATGGACTTCTGGCACGACACGGCGCATCGAGGAGCTTGTGACAGGTCGTGAGTCGCTGGAGGATCCTCCTTGGGAGTAGGACATGGAGAGAGGGCTGGGAGGCTCGGTCATTGATCCTAGGCTCGGAGTGGAATAGGAGTTGTCAAAGCTGCTCTCTGAACGAACTTCTGCATCTGTTCGTGTCTGCGGGCAAAAGAACTCCTCGTCAATCCGGTTGACGACAGGAGTAATCGGAACTGGTTCTGGTGAATATCCAACCGACTCATCGTGTCGACTATCCTCGACATGGACGACGGGAACATCCACGTTGCTCTCCTTCTTGGCCCGTTCCTTCGCAACGGCTGCGTCTATCTTTTGGAGTGTTTCAAACTGGCGGCTATATCATGTCCGTCAGAATCTTGGTCAGACTAATTCCCAAAAGAAGATCACTGTCTTACCGGCACTGCGCCGGTCCGAACTCCTCGGATCCCATATCCTTCGACACCGTCTCGAAGCAGATATTCGGCGACTGGATCTGCCGGAGGACGGCCAGCAGAAGCCACATGTTCTTCGTGTCGGTCCAATTGACCGGTTTTCTTCTGACGCCGGTCCTGGACTTGGGCTTGTCTGACTTTTCTGCCTTCTCGACAGGACTCTTCCTCGACATGGTCGAAACACTTCGCGAGCGCTTTCTATTGTCTCGCTTGACGTTGGTATGCGTCATGACGGCCAATATTCTCACAATGTAATGCAATATTGGAAGTTCTTTCCTGACAATAAGATCGATGAAAACCTGATCCACGTCCATGGAATATCAGCCTTCTTATGCTGCGACAAGCAGAACACGCTAGATTCGCGTGAACGCGACTTTGACAAGACGCGCATTTTGACGCGAGAAAGGTTGAATCGTACGGTATCCTCAAATCGAACAAGGTCAAGAATTCAGACGAAGAGCGGTGTTCGATCATTTGTACTACTTGTCGCTGAGTCTGCAGCTCTGGACATACCGCTCGATTAGAGACAGGCATTTATTATCCACTAAGAAGGATGGTGATTGAGCTAGAATAGACTATCTGGCAGACCATCCATCTTCGCGGATCGACTTCAACGACTAGTGGCGCTGCTAAGACCGGTCCTGTTAGAGCAGTCGAGATTGAAATAAACGAACACTGCTAGACCCCTGACTGACGCTCCCCTGAGCTCGCTGAGAAACAGTTGGCCCTTCACAATGTCCTTTGAGACAGTTGTCTGAGGGCTGCTAGGTCAGTTGATATCTCAAGCCTTTGTGCGGCACGCCAGGCAAACACCATCAAAGCAAGACAGAAATAAACAGGATAAAGAACATGCAAATAGCAACAAGACAGCTGACAAAGCCTAGATTCAAAGACAATGCAATAGTCAGACAGCAGAACAGCGGTAAAGAATGAGCACATACAGACCCCTGTCTTTGTCTGCTCAGCTGTTTCATCCGACTGGATGACTGCTTCTGTCTCATCATCACAAAGAATGCAGTCTCCTTTGCTCCTCCGACCGTGTCTTTTCTCTCTCTGCAGTCTGCATTCATTGTCTGCCGGATGGCGGCAGCCCTGCCAGCGCCATGCTGCCATCGTCTGAATATTTATTCTTGCCCGTGCTGCCCAGCACATCCTCATGCTCACACAATTCGGCAGTGCATGAGCCTGGCCTCAGTGCATTCTCTCTGCTACTCCAATCACTGCCAGCATGGCCACTCTCCGCCGGAGCAAGACGATGCCTGCCGACGGCCAGACAGCCAAGTTCCTCTACACCATCCTGAAACAGCTCGATCTGAAATCTGTAAGTGTAGGTCCAACCGTGAGGATGAGCTTCTTTGCTGACGATGCAGGTCGACTGGAATCTGGTGGCGTCGCAGCTGGACATCTCCAACGGCCACGCCGCCCGCATGCGCTTCTCGCGCTTCCGCCAGCACATGGAAGGCATTCCCACCGTGCCTCGCGCCCAGAGACCTAAGAAGCCCACCAAGGAAAGCAGCAAACTGGGCAAGTTCGCCAAGGGCGATCTCTCAGAGAAGGAGAACCCGAAGAAACGACCCGCTCCAGACTTCATCAAGGAGGAACAGCGAGAGCCGTCCCTGCAGATGAGCCCTCTGGTCAAGCGTGAGCCCGGTCCTGATCCGATGCTGTCCACGCTGCCGACTGCCATGTCGCCGTCTGGTCTGGTGCCTGCGTCGGGGAACTCGCTGTCTACGGCGCCGCCTTATCCTTTGTTGACTGTCGCTCCAGCCGATCTGGCCCTGAATAATCAGCAGCAGCAGCAGCAGCAGCAACAACAGCATCAACATCAGCACTTCCCCGACTACAGCCAGCCCCAGTATCCTCCGATACCGTCCTTGAACCCGCCAGTCAGTTTCAATCCTTTCATGTCCAGCGTCCCGCCAGCACGGCCAGAGCCGACGTGGGCGCCAGTCAAGATCGAGCCCAGGGATGAACGGGGTCTGGATGATATTTTTGTCAAGGTGGAGCCCAGCATGGAATAGGTGTTGCCTGTGATGGCCGAGATGTACGATTGATGAGAAGAAGATTTATTTAGAGAGTAGATTTCAATCTCTGATCAATATATCTGTCTTCAGTCCAATCTTGATGATTTACCCGGGTATGTCTTATTCATGAGCCTTCTCCAAAAAAATATATTTACTACTCAGCTGCTATTGCAGTGTCGTTTGGAATGTAGATCAGGCCCAATACGGCGATAAATAGCGTAGTTGTCAAGGCTGAATCTTGTTCCCGTTTTATATTTCTGATTCCTCTTCCTGATGATGTATTGCTCTTGTTGACTTTTTCTGTCTATGTGCCCTGTCTCGAGAAGGAATAATCGAGCCTTTGGTAGCCATGAATCTCCTGACTACGCGAGATAGGACTTAGGTTTTTAATTCTTCCAGATGCACCCCTAATTTCTTTGCGTGCTGTTCCATCATGCCAATGAATCTTTTCTTAAAAAAGAAAATAAAAGGACCGAAGAGAAGCGAAGATGCATTTAAAAGCGAGGTATAATCTTATATTCGTCTCCTTTGTCGTTTTCTATATTGTTTTACCCTTCTTTTTCTTCTTCTTCTTCTTCTTCTTCTTCTTCTTCTTCTTCTTCTTCTTCTTCTTCTACTTCTTCTTCTCTTTAAATGCTCCCTTCAATTCCCGCGTTTGATGATTGAATTGACACACTGCTGGGTTTATTCCACACGGAAACAAACGAGATTCCAATACTGTAAACTGATACGTCCTTTCCAGCAGATGGGACTCGAAATATGGATTCTTGCGTAGCTTTATTGGCCGTTTAATCGGAATTTACTCGAGGTCTTCTGACCTTCCTGGCTGCGAAGAGGATGTAGTTGCCCCTGTTGAGCGTCCGACAGAGCAGATTTTCATTTTCGTCTTCTTCTGTCCTATCTAGGCGGGCTTCGTAGTAATTTGCCCTACAGCCAGCAGTGTACCTGGTATTCATGTGCTGTCACCCTCTGGCAAGAACTCCTTCAATTATCAGATTCTGCCGACATATCCTTGTTGTATTCCATCTGTAGACATCCCATTTACAGTCATCATGCAGTAGTAATTCCGCTGCTTGTAAGGTCACCATCCAGCCGTTCACTTCCATCTCAACGTTCACTCATCGATATCTGCTCTACCAGCCACCTGCCTGTCGTTCACCATGACAACAGCTAGGCCATCCACTGTAACCCCGCGTAACGCATCCAGCCAGACTCTACCAATTGAGATCATCGCCGAGCAGAGGGCTCCGCTGCGCTGCCTTCTCAGTCACTGCAGAAACGTTGATCCTAGTGTCATATACACGCTCACACGTTGACGTGCCATAAATCTCTCCCTCACGCTTCTTGTCACTTAAATTTTCTTTCTCCCTCCTCTACGCGTTGCTCTTCTCTGCGCTACATCTGTCATCTTTTGCTTCATCCGGGTAAGCAACAGCACAGCGAACCATCTCAATATTATTAGGTTCCTTGTCAATACCTTGCTCTGAATACAAGCATCCTCTTACCAGCTGCCTCGGCTGCACCTTGCAGTTGTGGGTGACCTTTCATAACGTGAGCTGGATCTCTTCCGCTTGTATTGCTTTCATGTGGACGTGACTCTCCACGCTCATCCACTCACTCACCTTTCTCCTCCCTACATACATGCAATATCATGCTGACTGCTGACTGACATCAGATCTGATCATATCAAACGTTCCCCTTGATCGTACATTCATCACGATGCCTCCGAAGAAGGCTCTGGCTGCAGCCACGGAATCTGGCGCCGTGTCCGCCCGCGAAATGAAGCCTGAAGAAGCTTTTTTCCTCGTTGAATGTGTCCGTGCTATCGACACTGATGGTCTTGTAAGTTATTTTTGTCCTTTTCAAGCTGTCTGTCGACGTATACATACATATGTGTACGAAATACATGTATGTATGTATACATTGATAGACAGTATCTACTATGAAACATTATTCAACGTGACATGCTTCTCTCTAACACCTCTGGCCAGGTCAACTTGACCAAGGTGACCAACGCCTTGGGCAACAAAAGTATCCCCGCCATGGGCAACCGTTTCCGCGCTCTGAGAAAGAAATACGGCCTCAATCTGGGCGCGAAGAGCGGTTCCTGTGTCATCACCAGCCAGGACGGCGGCAACTCTGCTGCTGGCCCTGCTTCTTCAAGCCAGGAGTCTTCTTCGTTCGCGACCCCGGCCAAGACTCCAGTGAAAGTCGAGGCTGATTCCGATGAGGATAAAGAATCCGACGAGGCCACTCCCGTCCCCGTCACCGCGAAGAAGGCCAACGTCCGTCGTCCTCGCAAAGGCGCAAAGGCGAATCAGGGACCGATCTCCGCTGCGAAGACTCCTCTGCCCGCGACGCCCGTCATTCCCTCCTCCGCGAACGAGTCTTCCTGTTTCCCGGAGAGCACGACCAAAGCCACGCCGACTCCGAATCCTGCTGCCGCGGCCTCTGGCTCTGGCGTCAACGCTGTCCCTCCCAAGCGAGGCCGCCGTGCATGTCCTGGCGCCAGCAAGCCGGTGAACAAGTCCTCCGTCTCTTTCGACCCGTCCGTCAACATGGAAGATGTTCCCGCGCCACCGGACACTCGCAACATCGCTGGTCGTAAAAACCCTAACCCGCTGCCCAAGAATGGTGTTGTCAACAACAACCAGTCTTCTGAATTCCCCTCTGCTTACGCGGACTGGGAGCGCTGGTCTGAGCACGTGCAGAAGGAGGTCCAGGCCAAGTCGAAGACTGCGGCGAAGACTGCCTCTGCATCGGGCGATGGCGAAGACGAGGCCACTCCTGTCGCTAAGCACTAGCAGGTGGATCAGAGATCACATTCCCGCATGATGATCGTTACAATATGAGTTGTGTGGATCGTGTGATTGACTCTTGACGCCCTGACGACAAGTTGGGTCTGTTCTCTTCCAGCCGAGTCGGATTCGATTTGGCAGAGTATGACATTCGTGATCGACTCCCTTCTTTTGCTATTTTGTTTCTCTTTCTTTCTGCTTCTTCTTGACTTGACTTTGTTGTGTCGTGGAGGTTGGATTTTGATCTGACGCATCCATCGGATGATCAATGCATCCATCCATCCATCATCCATCACGACTGAAGGAAGGTCTTGCTCTGGCTGTTGTTTTGCATTCCATATCCTATCTCCTGCAGCTCGTGACGCTTCCTGTATGTAATTGGGGTGAAGCCCATCGAAAGAAGGTTGAAGGTCGAATGGATTGTTGGGGCAGTTCTTACTGCGGGGATTTCTTCAGGCTTGCGAGCAGGTAGCGGGATAGTTCTAATACAGAGAGCTTTCATTTCATATTCCTATTCATATTCATATTCGTGTTGACTGTTATTTTCCTTTCTCTGCGTCAGGAGTTCAGTGAGATAGACAAATAGATAGATGCGTAGAAGCGCTGACTTGCCAAGCGGAGCGATGTTGAAGATCTAGAAGGTCCTCCCTTTCCTCTCTTCTCGACCAGGTGGGTTTTTGACGGCGTCAAAACGGAAGTAATCTGGCTATGGTATATAGACTAGCACCTCCATTGTATCCATGCTGTCTCCATATCTCTACAGATATCCCGTCCTGGTCTGCATGTATCTGTTCCTCCTGCACTATTCTATCCATATAGATATCGTATCGACATGATTCAATCAGATCATATTAGCTCTCCTCATCGCAGTTTAAACAAATCAAATCAATCAACCTCACGAGAAGGAGATAGACTGAGCGTAGTCCTGGATACTAACTGCTTCTTTGTCTTACTGTCTTTCTTTCTCTTGTTGTTTCTGTTTCAGTTCCTGTCCTTTCATGCCTGTAGCCTTCCCTGCTCTCTGCGAGTGAGGCTTTATTTATGTGTTTGTTTCGCTCTTTCTCTGCGCTATTCTTTCTTTTATCTCTAGGACTACGTTTGGCTACACTGTACATACATTAGGTAGTTAGATATGTAACTCCTGTATCTACTGTCTATGAATCTTCTGAATCAGACAAACCAGAAGACAGGAAATGATTAAAGATAGATATTTAATGCTCACACTAAGACTGAGACCCGTTTCCCGCCATCTCTGCCTGTCTATCACCAAGACAATACAGTCTAGGTAGGGCACGCCGAGAAAGAGACTCAGCTGCCATGACCCTAGTTCTGTACAGGCACAGCTTTGTGTATCTTCTTCTCTTCTTCATCTTCTCTGTCATCCTCCTTCTTTCCTCCCTCTGCCACGATCCTGTCTATCTTTCTACAGACAGATCCTTCCCTTACCAACAAATCCTAGCTCTGTCGCCTCTTGTCTCTCTCTGTTTATCATCCTAACAAGACTGCCAGACTGGACGACGACTAGACTGCCTTGGACCAGATTCCACAGACGAGACTGTCTGGCTGTCTGTGAATCACTCTTCTGTCCTTGTCGTTCCCTCGCGGCAGTTTAATTTCTCCTGTCCATCACTGTCTTCTCTTGTTTTTATCACTTCCCTGACACAGACAGACGTGTCACATCAAGATAAAACTCTCATCTTCATCCAGCCATCTCGACAGTCTTGGCTGTATCATTTCTCCAGTTCGGCACGTTAAGGAAAGCCATTCTCTCATCTACACTCAAGTCCAAGAACTAGCGCTCAGATCGACACGCTGATACAAGGCAATATGTCGCGCATCAGTGTCGACGAGCAATTCCAGTTTCTGCTGAGCTGCGTCCGCAATTCGAGTAATGGACGGGTAAGCGGAATCCTCATCTGTCATCCATCCTGCCATATACATACATTTCATGTATTCATGTATCCATGTTTCCTTCGTTCATGACTGTGATTTTGTTTGGATTTCTTCTGCTCGAATCCATTCAGCCCGCGTGTCTTCATTGAACAATAACGAAATAGACTTTCCCTGGCTGACGCGTATCTCCCACAGGTCGACTTCGAGGGCGTTGCCAAAGAATGTAACATCGTGAGTAAAGGAGCCGCGTAAGTCATACCATATCCTCTTTCGTTTCTTTACAGAACCCTACTCTCCAGTCGACAACCCTATCCTGTATACATATGCATACATGTATACGCATACAACAATCTTCATCATCATGCTAACATGCTATTCTCCACCCAGGGCAAAGCGCTACGAGCGCATGATGAAAGCAAACGGCATCGACCCAAACGGCGGCGGCCCACTCAGCAGCACTAACACTGGCACCACTGGCAATTCTTCCTCTCTCCCCGCAACCCCTAAAACGCCCAAAAAGCCTGCCAAGGGAACTACGTCTACTACTGCTGGTGCTGGTCCTGCCACTGAAACCCCTACTCCCAAGGGAGAACACAGCAGCGGTGGTGGCTCAGGTAAAAAGCGCAAGTCGCCGACTTCTCTGGCTGCTCCTACTACTGCCGCGGCAGCAGGAGTGAAAGAAAATCAGCAGAAAAAGTCTCGTGTCAAGAAGACTTCTACTACTTCTGCTGGTACTACAGCTACTATTACTGCTGGTGCTGGTATTAGCATCAAGAAAAACGACACTAGCAATGACATCGCTACCCCGACCCCCGCGCCAAAGAAGCGTGGTGGTGGTGGTAGTATTAGTGCCGCCACAGTCCGCTTTCAGATGATGGGCGAGGACAGCAATGACAGCGACGATGGTAGTAACGACGGCCTGATGACTCCGGACGAGGACCTCCTGCCTCTTCTCGCTAGCGACAACAACAACAACGCAGACGCTGAGGCTCTCTTTAAGCAGTTCTGTCATAGTCACGATGACGATGAGGATGAGGATATGGACAAGGGCAAAGGCAAGGCCGAGTCTGTCGTCAAGACTGAGCCTAAGGCTGAGCCTGAGACTGCGATGGAGCTGCATTCGGAGATGGATTTGGAGGCTTGAACGGAATCATTTCTACTTCCATTTCCATTTTCCATTTCTGAAATCTGAATCTGATATGGATTCGGATTGGATTGCACAATGCACAGCAGAATCTGCCATGTCTTATCTTCCGGTCTGTCGCGTCGTGCTGCTATGCAATGCTCACGCGCTAGGCTATGCTACGCTACGCGTGATGAAGCACTTGTTCCAACAAAAAGCTAGAAAAAAAAAAGCAACAAAAAAAGTTGAAAATGAGAAACAAGAGGAAAAAAAGAGGAGGGAGTGAGAGAAGGAGGACTGTTATGAGTTTCCTTGGTGGAATTGGATCCTCTTTCCTTTCTTGCTTGTTTTTTTTCTTGCTTAATTATCTGCACTTCATTGAGATCCTGTCTGCTTGGCTGTCTGTCCTGTTTTCTGTTTCCTGTTTCCTGTTTCTTGTTTCTTTCTTTAGGTCTACTTTTACTTAGTAGGTAGCTTGCTTGCTTAATGGAGACAGACCTCTACTTAGTAGAGCGAAGAAGAGAGAGGGAGAGTCCTAATTGCTGTGTACAAGCTTTACTACAAGATACAGGCTACATATCTACGGAACGTATGTGCAGTAGATGATAACCATATACACGTACCTAATCTATGCAGGTATACCGAATTACAGAAAGAAGTGTGTAGTGACTATAAGTTGTACTGTACAACTGGACTGAGGAATCTCGATCGAACGACTCATTCATGATCTTACCGTTGCAAGAATTGGGTATATAGGGTATAGCGCATATATATATACAACATTTCGACTGCCGAATCCGCACTCGTCCATACCATATCATAGCGTTCGTGCCCATATCCATATCCATAGCCGTAGGTTCAGGAAGAAATCATATATACCAACATACGTAAAAGCAAGCTACCATCCACAATAACTCCGAGATAGTCATATACAGTCACACAAAAACAAACGTGGTGGTTATATATCTGCCATCACCGCCTGCAGAATGTTCCGCTTGTACTCGCGCAGCGCGGCCTCTTTCTTCTGCATCGTTTGCCGCAGGCGCAGGTATCGCTGTTTCCATGTTGCGTCGTTTCCTCCGTCAGTGTTGTTATTGTTATTGTTGTCGAGTTCGTCGTCTGTCAGAGGGATGTCGAAATCTTCAGCAGCTTCGTCGGCACCAGTGCCGTTTTTCAGCGCGTCGATCTCGTCCTGTTTCGAGGGTCCGTTCTCAGGTGAGAGTGATAGCTCGCTGAGCTCGCTGTTGAACCTGAGTCCAGGAGCCGACCGGTCCACAGTCAGGGTATACGTCTGTGTCGGTCGTCCCCCGGATTGCCCGACTGAGCCATCATTCTCAACAGCTGTCGTAGTCGACGACCCGTTCGCAACCTTTACGGTCAACGACCCTGGCCGCACGTTTTGGCCCACGCCCACACCAAATATCGCACATATAATGGATACCAAGTCCAGTGGTACCCCCAAATACATCCCTCGCAACCGCTCCACGGCTGCGCGCGCCAGGCCCCGAGCTTCGTCTGCTTCGATCGGTGCTGACCGGCCGACTACGTTCGCATGGAGAATCCTCCCTGCCAGCATCCTCGTCACGTCTTCAAGTGATGGCCTGCCAGCCTGCCCGCCATCGATATCGACATTCGACCCCGTCGATTCGCGCCCGTTCGGTGGAAACCCCGACGAAATCTCATCCGTCCCGTTCACTAGCAGCGTCGGCGGCGTCGCCAGCCGGATCGGTCTACCCGTATTCTCAGGCACCTGCAACTGCAGCTTGCTGGGCCGAGTGAGCGGTCGGCCTGACCCTGCAGTCTGGTTGTTTTGGGTCTGGTTGTTTTGGGGCCCGGGCTGGTTATTATCGGCCGTAACAGCCGGCGACGAGCGCATGCTTGCATTATCGCCTGGCGTGTTCGACCGCGCTGGATTCGCGGGAAACGACGAGAAAGGCCCCCCAGGCGCCGAGCCTCGATTCGGCGGCCGTCCTCGCACCTTGCCCGTCACGGATCCTGAACTGCTCGGCCACGCCGATGATACTGCCGGCCCACGTCGCCGCCGCGTGCGACTCCGTTCTCGCGACGACGGTGTCACTGCCGACCGCGGCTCGCTCGTCGCCAGCATATCCGCCGGATTGTGCTGTCTTGGGATGATTGCCGACCGTGGATAGCCTGCCGGTGAGGCCTCGCGATCGAGAGACCGCCAGCGCAGCTCCTGGCCGCCCAGCGGGTCCACTCCCTGTCCATCCGAGGCAAAGGAAGATGCGGCCGCTGCCCACGGGTCTGTAATATCCATATCGTCCGGAAAGGCACTAAACGGAATGGCGCTGGGCGGGAAATTGGCAGCATGCGTCGCCAGCGGATTGTTGTCCAGCAGGCCCACCGACGTGTCCAGGTGCGGACGTTTTGCAGCCTGTCCATCCTCGCTTTCTTTATCCTCGGCGCGCTTTCTGCCCCGTTTGGGCTTCCACTCCGGAACAAGAGCGCGAAGGGCCAAGTCCTCCTCTAACGGCACTCCATCGCGGCTTTCGCTCGCAGGACCGCTCGCGGACGGAAGCCTCATATAGTAGCTGTGGGGATGGCCGAGACAGTATTCGAAAAAGGCATCAACATGCATCGCACGCATCCATCGCTGTGCATATTTATCAGCAACAGACTGCCAGCAATACCAGAGGTCAGCGCACCTTCAGTCGAACCGCATACTGCTGCACCTTCTGCGTGCTCTGCATCTTCTCCAGCGACGGCGGTTCCACGCCCAACTCGATGGCCAGTTGGATCCATGTCTTCAGCTCTTTGCGGTCCAGCTTCCGGATGAGCTCCCACAGAGTATAAATGCTAAAACTCTTCCCGTCACTGCGAGGCGGTGACCGGAAGCTCTTCCGGAGCTCGGTTGTATCGACGGATGAGGGAACATTCGGGTTGCAGTACAGGATAAAAGCCACGTACGCGTCGTCAATCGTCTCGTCGGTCAATTCCCGCAAAGGCAAAACCCGACGCTCTGCCGTATCCCCGAGAGAATCTCTGGGCGGTCGCTGTCGACCGCTCGCATCGAACAATGGCGGAGACATGGACATGCCAGACCGCATGGCTGATGGAGGCATCACGCCAGACGGCGGGCCTCTGGGCGACGACTGCACACTGCGCGGCGTTTCCTTGCGCCGCAAGGGAGGAGACGTCGACGCTGCCAGTCTGCTTCGAGCACTGCCCGGAGAACCACTCCGCAGAGGAGTTTCAAAACCCGGCGGGTACCTGGCAAACTGCTGGATCACCGTCTGATTTCCTCCCAATTCGGGCCTCTCTCCGGACTGGGGGACCGGACTTTTGTAGGGAGCATCCATGGCCGGCCTCTTCAAGACAATCAATACTCAATAGCACAAATGATTGCAGACCCAATGCGAAGGCACAACAGAGCATATTCAGCGAAACACTGCGAACACTGCCAGCGCGTCAACACCAACAGACAGTCAACAGCAACAGAAACAGTCACACACAACTAATTCCAACACATCAGGGTATCTCATGCAAAGCAGCAGCAGGCAAACAGACACAGCAACAAGAAGGAGCTCAATGCGTCGGCCAGCCGAGCGCTCATCCCGATGGAGCTCAGGAGGCGCGCGACTCCTCAGCCTTCGCCGTTCTATTTTGGGAGCTGCGGGGCGTCCCGTGCCACCAGGGCGGCGCTTTCCCGCTTTGGGATCTAGCAGGGCTTAGCCCTGAATCCCGTGCCGCGCGCATTAGCTAAGCATGTCACGTGGCGCAGCGCCTATCTTATCTAATCGATAAGCCGGATCTCGGCGCGGGATTCTCCGGCGCTGCCCGATTCGGCTAAGCCGGCGAGTGACTGCTCGCCTTCTCTCCTTCACTGCTCGCCTCTGCTGCTCCCTGCATCGCCTGTCGCCTTGATTCCGGCCTCTCTGGCCCCTTTCTTGCTGATTATGACACTTGCGCTGCTTGTCTGGTGCCAGTGTCCCATGTTTCATGTCCCCGCGTGCAGTGGCCGCATCTGACCATGCCGTTCTGCCCCGCTTAGGTACACCTGCGTCTGATCATCCTCTATGCTGCTGCCATGGCTGCATCCCGACAGGCATCGGCGCCATCGCGCCCCGTTCGCAACGCCCGGAGAAGGGTGCAGTCATACCATGAAGCGACCACGTCAGAGAGCAGCGAGGACGAGCGGCCTGCCCCTCCGTCGCGCTCCCGGTCGAGAAGGCAGCAGGTCAGTGTCGATACGGCAGCCGCCGAACGCCCCAGGCGCTCTACCCGTGCCCCGGCCTCGTATCGCGAGCCGTCGACAGACGAGGACCTCGATCGAGTCATCTCCCGATTTCCTGAGGTGCTGACCAATGGTGCTGCTGCCCAGCAAGCCCATGTCCTTAGTCACCGCTCCCCTCCGCGCAAGTCCCGGCCGGGAAACAACTCTCCGAGCAAGAAAACGAAGAGCTCAACACGAGACTCTCCCCGAAAACGTCGACGAGTAGAGCCCCGGATGTCGGAAGAACCGACCACCGCACCCTCCGGCCCGATCCCGCCGTGGACGACGCTGCCCTACCACATCCTGTTCAATATCTTCCTCTTTGCGTCATATCCTCTGGTCGACTACAGAGAAGCCATTGCTCTGCCATCGGGAAAATGGCTGGTTGACATTGCCCTCCTCTGCCGTGCGTTTGCGGAGCCAGCGCTGGCAGCCCTTTATCACACACCGGTGCTCATTCCTGCGAAGAAGGCTCACAGGATCGTGCAGCTCTTATCGCAACCCCAGGAATCACTCGCTATCAACTACGCCAGCAAGGTCCGAGAGCTCCTGGTGGATGTTCGATATGTTTTGGCGTACAAGTCGGGTCCGGGGTATTTTGACCTGTCCAAGCTGATCGAAAAGGTTCCGCATATCAAGACGCTTCGGCTGTACCATCGACTCGATGGAGTAGCTCCCCTAATGTCGTCTACCCAGACCCCGCGATGGACCTATCGTGACTCGATTTTCGACACCTTGAAGCGCTGCAATGTGCGACTCCATACATTTGACTGGAATGCCCGCTTCATGGACCCGAGCAATCTGGTAGTGATGATGCAGATCCGCCATCGTGAAGCTCCCTTCCGCGGCCTTCGTGATGTGAAGTTATTTCAGATCCCGTCGGATGAGAGGGTGGCGGAGAACGACCAGGAGCTCGAGGAGCTCACGGAGACAAAGTTGGCTGCGGCGCTGAGGGAGCTTCCGGAACTCCGTCGCCTGTCGTTCACCGACTGCGCGGTTGTCAATGAGGTGCTCCTGCCGAGGTTGCCGACGAACCTGACTTCGCTGACCATAGATAACTGTGACGAGCTCACGTCGCAAAGTTTCGCGCCCTTTTTAGCCAGCCACGGGTCTCATCTTCGAGAGCTGGTGCTGAAACACAACCGCCATCTCAACCTCTCCTTTATCGTGGGTCTTGCCGAGTCGTGCCCAAATCTGGAACGGCTGTTGGTCGATTTCATCATGCACAATTGGCCCCCGTACTACAATGGCACGCCTCATTTCGATCAGCTGCTGAGGCCCGGGGAGGTCCCGACCTGGCCGAAGGCACTGCAGGTCATTGAGATGCTCCAACTCCGCAACTGGGACAAAGCCCGGGCCGCTGCCTTTTTTTCGTCGCTCGTCGACTCCGCGCCGGATTTGAAAGATCTCCGCCGGATTGTCATCAGCGCCACCGTCCAGATGAGCTGGCAGGATCGAGCATCTTTTCGCAAGCGGTGGATCCGGAAAATTGAGCGTACATTTCTTAGAAAGTACGAGCTGCCGAAATCGACTGCTGTCGAAGCTGCTCCTGCGGATGACGTGGCTTCGATGCCGGTCAAGCGCCAGAGTGCTCGCATTGCGCAACAACGCCTGTCAGGGATGGACGGCGATAGCGACGCATCTAAGACTCCGTCGGGCGCAACGACGAACACTGACACGGAGGACAGCGATGTAGATGACACGGAAGACATGTATGTACAGGGGATGTGCGACGTGGTCCAGCTCCGCATCGACAACCTTCGTCCGGCGGACATGCAGTTCAATGAAGACGACTTTCTTGACTCGGAGCTTAGTGGTGATGAAGAGTGGAATGGCGAGGACCCGGAGCCGGACGACTCATATGCGTGGTGATGAATCACCGAATGACACACTACTTCTGTGACATATTCCCGGATGGTTTTGTGGAGCCTCTGGCGGTTTTTCATTTCGGTATTGCGAATTGGAGTTCATGAGGAGTTTGTGATTGTCATGCTGGCTAGGTGGTTGGGTTCTGATCGGAGCATGGTGACATGGCGTTCAGTCCTGGTCGCTGGTTGTGAATCTTTATTTTTTTTCTTTTCCTACTCCTTCTCCATCTCCTACTTAATTAATTCCCCATGAAATTGAGGCTGTGGACGCAGTGTGCTAGTCGAGAAAGCAAGCTTCACGTGGTTGGTCATGTTGTTCTTTTCCTGTCTCGACTTAGGTACCTATTATTCTTGTACAGCACTCCCCTTTGCCCTCCGATTAGACGGATGTATTGTACTTGGCAGGTAGATACCGTATGTCTGTACATCAATGACACCGTCTTCTGAGCTTCTTCTCTTGTATCACGTCTGGCTGGTTTTACGTACGTACCGTACCATAATCCTTTACACAGTGGAGTTGACGGCACGGAGTCGATATACATTTCTCCAAGAGACAAATATATCTGTCACTTTATATCTTTCAATTCCTATGTCTACTTATTTAAATTCATCCCCGCGACGACCACAGCCTGGGCTAAATACACGACCTACACAACGAACAGACGAGGTGCTGACAAGAGTTCTTTAAAGATAAACATGACTTGGTCCAGGCAAGCCAAGAAAAAAAAACCAATCTTATGTAGTCAAACAAAGTGTCATTTCTCAGCTTGATCTGCGACAAGGTGAAAATGAAGAATTAATAGTGAGTGAATAGTTAAAAGGAATGACTGCTCAAGTGTCTGGTACACAGTACTTTTTCACTCTCCACCATAGTCATATTATTTTCTTGGTAATAGTTAGCTGTGTGTATGCTCCTCCCACGCATCGTCACCTAGGTATTATATATTATTACCCAGCTAGGAATGTGATAAATTCACTGGGATAATAATATCATAATCCAGTGCTCAAATTTACCCCTTACCTTTTCCAAAATTCACTAATTTGCTTGTCTTAGATATCAGAACGTACTCTTTCTGGAAACGTTGTCATTACTAATCTATACAAGTCTCAGCCTACATTCCTTGAAACTCGAAAAAGAAAAAGAAGAGAGAGAGAGAGGCAGGGAAGCGAAAGGGATAGCAAAGTGAAAAGAAAACACGTGCTAGCTATAATTATTAATTGCTTCCGGCAGTTCCTGTATTCTTCCCAAGATGCAACTCCGGAAGAGCGGCAAGAAACATCGTCAGCTTTAATTTTATTTTCTTCGGATCTGCTCTACGGAAATCCTCATCTCCAACAAGTGGAATCGTGCACAGCCACTGTTAATAAATTCTTCCTTGTCTAGGGCTGATAGCTTCTTTGCCGCTGCGATACCCGCCGATCACGGGCCGCCATTCCACCACGTGCCGCGCCGAGAGAAACGGCCTTCCGGACGGCCGGCGTTTAATAATATTGCATCAACGGCCGAGCGTTTCTGCTCCATCTAGGCGCTTTTGGGCAGGTGAATCGATGGCCTGGCCACCGGTACTTGAATCCTCCCGCCCTCTCCACCTTATTCCCCCGCTGCCAGCGGTCGAGTCGGATGCTGCTCCTGCGCAGCGTGACCGTAACGCTTGCTGCCATTCATGGACCACAGCCAGATGACAAGCCTGGGTTGATTGCGTGCCTGGCTAATGCGGCCATGGCAGTCTGGCCTCTTGCCCGATGAAGACACGGTGTGGAGCTGTGCTGTACGCAGGATCGAACTGAGATCCCACCACCGCGTGGGTGACTGATGCTCTATATAATGATTCTTGGATCTGCTGTCTGGTGGAGAGCTGTGCCCAAGGCAATTGCATCGCCAGTTCCAACCTGCTGGACATCACCACCAAGATGCGGTCCTCAATTGCTGCCGTCCTCGCTGCCGTGAGTCTGGCCTCTGCGGCCACGATCAACGAGACGGAGCCATCCATCACCGAGATCAACAAGGCTGCTGCCACGACTCTTCCCTATTCCCCCGTGTCCAACGTGAGCGGTCTTGCGTTCGATCGGATCATCGACATCTGGCTCGAGAATGTGGTAAGTCAGGCTTTCTCGCGCGCGCTAATGCCTCAGCTTCGCTTTGCATCACGTTGATTCTCATATAACCCGCCGTGACAGGACTACGCGACGGCCGCTGCTGATCCGAACATGCAAGCAATTGCCAAAGAGGGCATCCTGCTGACCAACTACTGGGCCGTCACCCACCCGTCTGAGCCCAACTACTGCGCTGCTGCCAGCGGTGAGAACTTCGGCATGGACAATGACAACTTCCACCAGATTCCGAACAACGTTTCGACCGTCGCTGACCTTCTGGACACCAAGGGCATTGCCTGGGGAGAGTACCAGGAGGGACTGCCTTACCCTGGCTTCCAGGGCTTCAACTACTCCAACCAGCAGACCTACGCCAACAACTATGTCCGCAAGCACAACCCCTTGATCCTCTTCAACTCGGTCACCGACAACGATCTCCGCCTTCGCCAGATTAAGAATTTCACCAACTTCTACCAGGATCTCCAGAACAAGCGTCTTCCCCAGTGGGCCTTTGTTACCCCGAACATGACCAACGACGGGCATGACACGAATATCACCTTCGCTGCCAAGTGGTCCATCAACTGGCTTACACCCCTGCTGAAGAATCCTTATTTCACCGAGAAAACGCTTATCCTGCTCACTTTCGATGAGAGCGGAAACTACACTGTCCCCAACAAAGTCTTCAGTGTTCTCCTGGGAGGAGCTGTGCCGGAGCACCTCAAGGGAACCACCGATGACACCTTCTACACTCATTACTCCGTTATTGCTTCTGTCTCTGCAAACTGGGGTCTTCCTTCCCTGGGCCGCTGGGACTGCGGTGCGAACCTGTTCAAGCTGGTTGCGGAGAAGACCGGATACGTCAACTACGAGGTTGACACCCACAACCTCTTCCTGAACCAGACCTACCCAGGTCCCCTGTCTGCGAACGACTACTCCAAGTATTCCCCCAACTGGCCTGTGCCGGCTGCCCACGAGAAGTGCTCTGCTGGCCATGGCATTCTTAAGGCCGTCAAGGACACCTGGGGTCACTTGGAGCCTTCCTACAACTACACGGCCCCGTTCCCGTATGACACCGCCAGCGGCATCAATGTTGGCGTCAAGTACTACCGAACTGACGTAAGTTGAATCGCTCCTGTCTGCTCTCGAACCGTTCTGACCGAGAATTGTAGAAGAATGGAAAGAAGGAGGAGTATGTGAGTTAATTGGTTGGAACTCACTCACAGTCGCTGTCTTCACAGCCAGGTATCCATGTAATATATAGATTGAGTAGTGGAGAAAGTGGTTGACTTTTGACACAAGCTCTAGATATTGCGATAGTTGTTTTAGCGGTGGATATTGCTTAATACAGATATTTACACGTATAGATTGCAATACTTCTTTTTTTTCTCGTAGTATCTTCCATTGCGTGTCGTGTATTATCAATCGATCAACCTTGACAGGCCCCACCGCGATAAGATGGCGTCAACTGCCAACTCCGACCCGCCGCGAGTCATCGTGGGACGTGCACCACCAGCAGACAACGGTCCTTCCTGCCCCAGTTCGTGCATTTTTCCTTCTTATGTGAAGGCTGCGACGATCCCGACGTCCAGCAAGTAAAGACGGGGCTGTCTGGTGCTGCCCGAAGGAAGCGTTCGGATCGCAGGTTCGTTTGGCGTCCCCACGAGTTGGGCCTCAACGGCGACAGACAGACATCTCATCATCTCCTCCACCAACCCGCCGCCTCGAGCTGGAAGTCATTCTGACACTAGCGTACCAGTTCCGGATCAGGGCTTTGTTTATTTCTCTATTCTGTCTCCCATTTCTTTTTCTCTTCAGTTCCACACGCGACAGGAAGCTACCCTCTGTTGTTGACATGGGCCAGGAAGCGCCTCAAGACAGCGCTGGGCCATCGTCTCCACCACCTGCCTTGCCCGAGGGCTGGTAATTATTCCTGTCTTCTGCGTTTGATTTTATATCAGCGTCTACTTTAAAAAAAAAGGAAAAAGAAAAGAAAAAGAAAAGCGATAAAGCTAATTCGAATCATGCTTCTAATCTAGGCTTGCTCAGTGGGAAGGCCTCTCTCGCAAGTGGTACTTTGTCCAGCGAGCCACAGGCAAGGCACAATGGGAGATTCCCACCGAGCCGGTCATCCTCACTCCTTCGACGACGCCGAATTCCACCGAAACTGGTCCTACACGGGCTCCGTTCTCGAGACCGCAGACGAACAGTCCGCAGGCAGCGACGGGGCTGAGTCTGACTGCAGCCGGGGGCGTGACGACGGGGTCTGACAGGGCCGGAATCTCCGTATGCGGCAGCGTCTCTCATAATATGTTGTACGTGTGCTTTTTAGATAAGTGTCGGGGGCTGATATGATGGTGGTATAGAGCTTCTTTGGCTCGCAGAATGGTGGCTTTACGCCCATATCCGCCGGATTGCTGAACAGGGTCCCAAACCAATCTGTCAACATGAAAGCGAACGAATATAATGGATACAATCAACAGAATCTTTCGGGTCAGGGATACGGGGCTGCATCGGGCCATGACCTATTTGGGTCTCTGTCGGGGCGTTTGTCACAGTATCAGGTATTGGCCGGCGTGTGCAAGCTGTCGTGAAGTGAATTGACGTTGGAATAGAACGGGCACCAGCAAAATCCATTTGGATACTCATCCACGAGTCAGATCGGGACGTACACGGGGAGTGCATCCCAATACCAGCCTTCTGCGCAGCAGCTGGCTTCTGTACCTGGACTCAACGGGGGTTCGTCACAGCCAGGAGCGGGCTTTGCTGGGGACTACGCTGTTGATCATTCCGGAAGTCTGTCGTCTCAATTCACATCGTCCGCTTCATTCTCTCAACGTTATTCAGCTCAATCGATGACGGCTTCAGGTCTCCCAAATCACTACCAGGCGTCTGCGGCAAGCACGTACTCGGGCCTGGGTAGTTCTGGGGTTTCAGTGCCATCTGTAATGAAGTCTCAATGGCAATTGGGGTCACAGCCTACAAATCCTCAGTCTACGAAACCCTTGATGACGCAATCTCAAGCACCGCTCAATCCCGGAGGATCGACAAGTCAGCAGCATTATTCCAACCAGTCCTTTACCAGCGCACAGTTCCCGACTTCGCAGTATCCAGGAATGCAGACGATGAACGCTTACAGTCATGCGAGTGTGGGCCAGCCGTTCTCTACGCAACCAGCCAGCTCTTTCGGGCAATCCAGTCTGAGTATCCAAGACAATCCTTCGAGCTTCCGGGATATCCAAGGACTATCAGGGCTTGTCAGTCAGCATGGGCAGAACAACACTCCAAATGCGTACACACAGTATCCATCATATCAAGCAGGACAGCAGGGCTCGCTGTTTACCGCCAAAGGCTCAAACACGTCCACGCCTCCTACCACCGCATCGGGCGTCGCCAATAACTCTCCCCTGGGATCTGCTGGCTTTGGGACGTCTTATGCTTCTGGAAC